TTAGATGTAGTGGTATCACAGAACTGTTTTAAAACTCCAGCTGTTAAACATTTACTGTTCAGGGATGTGCTTTCCCAAAATGGACTAGAGCCCTAATTCAGCAAATGCAGTCCTGTTAGTAGATGGATAAAGGAAAGGCAACAGAGACAGCTTGTTCAGAATCACTTGAGGAATCTTCTGTACAGAGCTGTTCTCAAACCCCCATCAGGTATTGTAAAGAAGAGGCCATTTCTTTTTCCAGTCTGATTCTTATCTTTTTGTCCCTGCAGCTTGATCTGCTGTGGACCCGGAAGCAGAACGTGATGTACAATTTATTTGACTGGCCAACCCAAAAGCACTCCAAGCTGATCATCCTGGCCATTGCCAACACCATGGACCTGCCAGAGAGAATCATGATGAACAGAGTAGCAAGCAGGCTGGTATGTTCTAGCAGTTCTCTTGCTGTGCCATCAAAGGAGAACAGATTAAATACTGGATGCAATCAAAAGCAATCCAGGAGAGAAGTAGGACTGGTTATATCAGAAGCTGAACAATGGTTTTTATCATTGCCTCTCCTGAGGACTGATAATGAACATATAAATCTAAGTTCAGGAGCCTGTTTGCTAATCAGGTATTATGCTGATACATAATGTTCTTGTAAGAATGAAATAAATATGTGGATGCCTAAGATCTGGATAATCAAATGCTGTGCTTCATAGTTAAGCTGCTTACTCTGGAGTTCAGAAGAATTCTCTTCTGGTTTCCCTTCCTCTTTCCTCTTTCATTCCAGGCACCTACTTACTTCTCTGTTTGCCATCATCAGTTGGTGGATTATATAAAAGTATCCAACAAAGAAAATTGGATGCACTCTCCACTTGTTTTGAATGTTTTCCTAGGTCACCTCACCACGGTTCTGAAAAGTGATTTGCAAAAACAGTGCTCTGTGCCTCTATCCTTCCATGACTCAAAAGCAGCTCCACAGGGTGTGAATTGCTTTCCCCCACCCACTAAACCCACTGCAGATCAGCTGAGTCCATACAGTCACAAGAGAAGTTTTGCATAAGAAATTCAAACTCAGGTCTCCTGTAGGATGAAAGGCAGAGCACCATCAGTAACATGGATTGCCCTCATCTGAGGGCTGCTCTTATTGGCTTGAGCCAGAAAAGGGTTTTAATTCTTGGCTGATGGCTAACTTGAAGTCAACACACATGTATACAGAGTAGCTAAAGGCATTAATATTTTTCCACAGCTGCTGCTGTTATTGTATTAAAAAAATAACATGTAGACAGATGTAATCCAGATATTTTTGTATTGAGGAGCTCTCATTTGTTAAAAAGTTTTTATAAGAGAAATCTGAATTCTGATAATAGCAGCTTCACTTGCTCCTCAGGCCTTTCAGTGGGGAGATCCGACCAGTGGTCGGCACTGAGCCACAGTTTTGTGGATTTGTATATTTGTTTCACAAATGTAATTGATTAAAGCATGTCACTGGGAAGGAAAGGATGTGAAAAACTAATTGCCCTACCAGAAAAAGTGAAAGTAACCACACAGGCCATGCTTCAGCAGTTGAGAGTTTTCCAGCCCCACAAACACTTCTCACTGTGTTGTGTCATTTATTGTAGGGCCTCACCAGAATGTCCTTTCAGCCCTACACCTACAAACAGTTACAGCAAATTGTTTCATCCAGACTGAAGGGAGTGAAGGCATTTGAAGAGGATGCAGTCCAGCTGGTTTCCAGAAAGGTGAGCACAGAGCAGATAAATGTCCTTCATGTTGCACTGGGTGCAAGGTGTGGGGACAGCAGGGAGACTTTTGTCACAGCTGTTGGACCTGGTTCTGTGGTTGTGTTCTGTATTGGAGGCAAGTATTGGGGCACAGTTAGGTCATACATTATCCAGGGTATTTTCTGAAGGCATTTCTAGAGCAGTGTCCTTGCTTTTTCCACCTACTCTGAGAAGGCAGCAGATATTCCAAGAGCTGAAGGCATGACAAGAGTCGTGATGATAAGATGTCAACTGTCTGCACTGTTTAGCATAATGTGAGTCATTGGAGAGTCCTGAAAAAGATAACATGCCAGTGGCAGTGGAAATAGCCTTATAAATTTTATTTCTCAAGTTATTCAGTGCCCTGTCATAATAAATAATACTTGTTCTTGTTTGCAAGTCTTAATACTCAGTTGTACAAAATGTAAGTAATGCATTGGGGATCGGTGGCTTCTCAAACTGAGATATGTGCACTGCTAATGTCTTAAATTAGCAGCTCTATATTAAAGTAATCTATTAAAATTATGTCAAAACAACCTACCTCATTGTAGGATTAAAAAAGAGTGCTCATAAATATGTCAGAAGTAAATACAAGCCTGTGTTTTGTTGTGAAGGAACCACCTCTCTGTAAGAATAATAGTGAGGGTTTGCAGAGGAATAATTGCAGTGTTTTTCTACTATGAGTTTTCTTCAGAAATATAGAAATATACCTTGCAATTAGATTTTCTACAGGGTTTCTCATTTTTGGCCCCAGCTGGGTTCTAGGGCTTTTGTATATTACCAGCATCTGCTGGGAAAACTAGGCCAGTACTATATGTTGTGTTGAATGTTCCTAGCTTTATTAAAACTGTAAAACACAATTGGGGTTTTAACAAGTATTCAGTTTCAGAAATTTCAGACAACTAAACATTTTCAGGCACTTGTAACAGTAAATTGACTGTCCTGGATATTTCTTTGAGACCTTCTAAAATTATTAGTGTACTCTTAAAATCAGTATTTTAATGAGTGTAGAAAAACCAAATTTTTTGGTGTTATAGCCAACCCCCTTTTTCCTCCTTTTTCATGAGCCTGGATTATAAGGGTCATCACTGATAATTAAACTGATACTTTGAAACCTTTAATTTTTTTTAACCTCTGACTTCTATGTTACAGAAAAAAAGTTCAGCCTTGAATTTATGACAACCAGATCAGGGTGGGGGTGTGGGAGATGTGGAGAGTTGCTTCTGTTGGTTTTGGTCAGTAAGCTTTGTTTTTCAGGACCTGGGAATATAGGGATGCATTGCTCTCCCACTGGGTGCTCAGGGTGTTTGGGGTTGGTTTGTCTGCTGATTGTTGCTGAACTCTGTCCCCAGCTGTTAGGAAATGTTGTCCCACGTGTGTGACGTTCCCTTGCAGGTGGCAGCGCTGTCGGGGGACGCGCGGCGGTGCCTGGATATCTGCAGAAGGGCCACGGAGATCTGCGAGTTGGCCAGGCAGAAGAGAGCCCCAGAGATTGTCAGGATGGCCCACGTCACTGAAGCCATAGATGAAATGTTCTCATCACCATATGTCAATGCAATCAGGTAAAAATGTTTCCTTTGCTTTTGTGTCCCTTTCACTGCACTAGTTTTTCACAAACAAAAATGATGCCAGAGTTGCAGGCTGTGATACAATGGCCACTTGTGACATAAACTGCCCAGTCTGTGTTTAAATATGTAGCTCCAAGGATTTCCCTTCCAGACTTCCTCCTGCTGTTTCATGGATTCTGAACTTCACAAATGGATTTTTGTCTCATTTGTTTTTTGACTCAGGAATGCTTCATTGCATGAACAAATCTTCTTGAAAGCAATTTTGGCAGAGTTTCGCAGGGCAGGAGTTGAGGAGGCGACAGTTCAACAGGTAAGGGGCATTTTTGTTACTGACACCAGTGATCTGGATCACAAGGTGGTTTTATTTTTTTTTGGCCTGCATGTTAAAACATCTCATGCTTCTACCCTAACATGCTTTATAACAGGAAGAATCAAAGAGAAGTTGAAATTACTAGGCAACAGTCCAAGGAGGAAAACTGAAAGCCGATTCCAAGTTGTGCATCACTGTTTTTCCCTCACAGAGGCAGATATGTCACTGGTAGCTTTGTTTTTTTCAGTAGACCCATAAAATATTGGGTGCCAGCAGAGCTGTGAAGACTCTGGAGTAGTCATGAGTAGTGTGGAAGCTAAATGTTAATACTTATACAAAGATGTAGTTCTAAACATTTTTATAGAGAATTACAGCATCTAAACAGGCCGGAGCTCTTTTATTTCCCCTCCATGGATGTGGGGAGAAGGCAGCTTCTCACTGTGTCACCTTGTCACTCAGCTGCAGCAGGCAGTAAACATAACCTGTGTCCTTTTTGTCTTTCTCAACAGATTTACCACCACTACGTGGCCTTGTGCAGGGTGGAAGGCCTGCAGAGCCCCACGGTGTCAGAAATCATGGCAGTTTGTTCAAGGCTTGGTGCCTGCAGGCTCTTGCTGGTGGAGGCCAGCAATAAATATCTGCACATGCGGGTGCGACTGAACCTCAGCCAGGATGATGTCATGTATGCACTCAGGGAGGAATAAAGCAAAAGAGATTTTATTGCTTTTAATATGTATAAATATTTTAAATACCGTCTATTTTTATTTGTTTTTTAATTATTGATAAAATGGAAATAGTGAAATGTATTTTTTTAAAAGGCTTTGCTTATTTGTTTGATGTATGAAAGCATTCTTTTAATAATAAAGAATTAATTTCAAAGCATTTTAAGTATTTCAAATTATTTCTTTGTAGAAGTATTTTTAATTGCTGGTAGCTTTTAACTGAGGTCTATGAACTTGGAATGGGTTATTTGAAGATTACTTGCATCACTTTTTTTTAAGGCTCATGGTCTCTTTGGCATTCTGTAGATTTTCCTCAGTGACTTACATCCAATGAAAGGCATTGCTGAAACGGGCTTAAACTTTTCCTTACTAACATAATTAAAAGGAACTTCCAGGTTGCAATCCAACATAATTAAACGGAACTCCCACTTTGCAAGGCAGGCTCGCTGTTGGAATGGAGGAAGCTGTAACAATACCTCGAACACGAATGGTGCCATTTGAATACCCAACTCCTTTGTCTGACCGATCCTAGTCCAGGACTGCTCCTCAGCAGCCGCCCCGGTGCGGGGCTGTGTGCGGGCTCAGCTCGGCCAGAGCCGGGGCCGTGGCTCCCTCCGGGCCCGCCCCTCCGCGCAGCCGCGCAGCCGCCGCGGGCGGGCCCACCCCGAGCGCGCCGGCCGGAGCTGCGGCCGCACGGGCGGGAGCCGAGGTGAGCCGGGGCCGGGCTCCCTCCGGGCGGTCTCTCCGCGGTTTTTCTCGCGGTTCCCGGCCCATCGCCCCCGCGGTCCCTCCCTGCTCCGGCCGGGGAGCGCCCGCAGCCGGCCCTGCCCGCCGGGTCCCGCCGAGCCGCCCGGGAGGAGCGCGGGCGCGGCCGGGCCGGGCCGGGCTCCCTGGGCCCGCGGAGCGCGTCCCGCGGCGCTGCCCCCGCTGCCCTCACGGCCGGGAGCGCTCTGAGGGAGAGCCGGGGAAGCGGCAGGGTCGCGCCGCCCGCCTCCGTCCGGCGGGCTTTGCCTTGGCACGGGCAGGCGCTGACTTTAAGTTCCGTGTGCTCTCAGTCCTACAGAGACACAGCCCTCTGAAATTCATGAACCAACATGCTTGGCAGAAGACCTAAAAAGAGCCCTCAGGCAAAGGGCCAGGGAGCTGCAGTTGCAAAGCAGGTAAGGAGGGCGAAGGGCCAGGGAGATGTGGTGGCAGAGCAGGCAGGGAAACCTCCCACTCCCTCTGCTCCTCGGGATGGTCTCGCTGAGACCTCTCGCTGCTGTTTTCCTGCAGAGTCTCCCATGTGGTAATAGCATTGCGGGATCATGGGGAAAATTAGATTGTGTGGTGCCTGTTTTCCTTCCTTCTTTAATGCATTCTTTTTCAAGTAAATATCTGATAGGCAGCTGTGGAGGTCTTGCAGGGAAGGCACAGTGTTGTAATGCTGTAATCTTTGCATGAGACCTCATGACTCATGCTTACAGTATTTTCTTAGCCCAGCTATGTTGAGATTTAATAATAACTTCAGTCACTCTGTGGAGGCTTTCCCTACATCTCTAAGAAAACAGAAATAAGAACAGCAGAATATCAGGTAACAAATTAAGGGACGTATATGGGAGAATATTAAGATGCTAAACAAGAGACAGTTAATTTTAATTTCCCTTTGTGTAGTCATTTTCATGTAACAGATAGACTGATGTGCCCCTTTCCTGTAGATAAAAGTGAGTTTAGCTGTGTCTGTGTGTTGAGGTTTTTTTTCCATACTTATTTACCTTTGGATGGAGTTTCAGAAGTCTTGTGGAGAGAAACAATAATTAGTCATGGTTGGCAGGTGTAGCAAGTCAGGCGACAGTGTCAAAATTAGAAATACAGTCAAGGCAAAATTCTGGGTGGAAAACTGAGGGGAAAACAGTGTAGTTAGAGTTAATTAATATGTTAGAATCAGAATGGAATTTCAGAAACCTTTGAAGAATAGAGGGAAGTAACAGGTGGAATAGCTGGTAAGAAAGTAGAGGAATGTGAAAAGGGGTTGTAACAGGCTATTAGAACAGAAGAAATAACTAAGATGTTTTCTTTTGTTGATTTCTTAGGAACCAGTGTTCTCATACTGGAGGCAGAATGCTGTAGTTAGTGATCCATAATGTCACCATGGCTCCAGTGTGAAAGTTTGCATTTCTCTGTGAGACAGACAGTGTATAACTTAGTTTGTCTGAGCAGGGGAGAAGATAAAAGGTGAAAATAATTTTCCTCCTTCTGGGGAAAAAAAAAGAAACCTCACTCTGAAAAGACAAACAGTAATTCAAGGATCTGATTAACATCTTTTACTAATTCCTAATTCAATACAGTTAATTATTCAGCCTGTCTTACATCATAGATAAGTGCTTCTTGAAGTAAATAGCTTGTTTGCTTTCAAATTAATTCAATTTAAAATGGTTTTTTGTTGTGTAGTATATCAACTGCAAGCTTTCCATAACTTATTTTTTCTGTTTTATTAAACATTGCTTCAGTACTGCTAATTTCATTGGAAATGTTCCTTTTTGAATGGGTTGGGACTTGGAGCTGGAACTGCTGAATTGTGTTCTTGACTTCTGTGGTTGCTGCAGTTGCTTCACTGTCCACCCTTGCAGTGTGGTAATGAACAGGTCCTGTGTGCTCCTCATCTGTTCTGCACATTGGTGAAAGATTGGGATTATAAAATGGTCCAGAGAGGGGCACAGAATCTTTCAGGGCAGTAGCCACCAGCACTTTGATTCCTACTGAGTTAAAAAAAAACAACTATTACTCACATTAATTTATAAACTGACAGGCAGCCTCTTGCAGCACTTCAGATCCTCAGGACAGAGGGAGATTGCTGACCCTCAGAATAATGACAGCTGATGTTTTTTCCTGTGCTGGAGAGGAGCTGAAGTGCTGCCTCCTTGGCCATGGGGGGATCAATCAGGCTTGTGCTTTGGAAAAGTCTGAGGAAAGCTTCACCTTCTTCATAGGATGAATCTAATTCTGTTCATTCGTGTTCATAGAAAGTCTTAGCATACTTAAGATAATTTTATTTTCCTGGGGCAGTTAATATCTTAACCAGAAACACAAAAACAGTGATGAAATGGCATTTTAAAATAATACCTTTTGGACTAAGACCCCAGAGATTCCTTTGCTGTACTTTGGAATGTTTTGCCACAAGAGAGTGCTAACCCCTACTGCCATATCCTGATTACTGTTATTAATGCTGTTCCCTGAGATGTTATCTCTCAGCTGATGATCTGTGCCAGCCAGTTCTGATGGTTTTCCCCAGTGCAGTGTGGGCAATGCTGGGTTTTAATGGCTGTGTTTGTTTCTGGGATTTAGAAACTGATGTGAGAAGAAGACAGAACAGTTCTGTGTTTATAAATGTAGCTTCTTCAAGAGATGAGGGTGAAGTCTGTGCAGTGTGCACATGTCAGACCTTTTGTGTGTGAGCCATGAGTGAATGTTTTTTAGCTTAGCTGTTAGGGAGGCACTGCCCTGAACTTCCCTGATGCTATCTGCTCCATGAGGCTCAGTAAAACAAACATTTTCCTCTACCTTGTTATGTCAGACTGTTAAACAGGATTGATTTTAAGAAATGGTTTGTGTAGAGTTTTAAAGGAACACTTGTGGGGTGTTAAGATTTATGTACCTTACATCAGTTTTGGGTGCCTGTATGCATTGTTGTGGTAATACAGGTGGTGTGATAGTGGGCTGTAAAAAAATAATCAGGATTCAGAATGGTGAAAATGTCTAAATAATCCATGCAATGTAATGTTTTTGGGTTTATCTTTGTTCTAAGTAGGGTATTTTATTATTCTGTACTGTTATTTTCCCTTGGCTCCAGCTGGGGCTGTTTGTGGATTTCAATCCTGAAGAGATGCTGCTGGCTGCAGAGGAAGGTGAGGATGATGGGGACCTTGAGGCAGAGCTTGCTGCTATCACAGGAGGAAAAGTGAAAGAAGGAAAACCAAAACCAAAGGTGAAAAGTAAGTTAAAGTATCTGAATTTAATTTACCTTTGTTAAATTGATCTAAAAAAATCTTTAGATTTATCTAAAATGGTTTTTCTATTACTGGTAGAAACTGAATTTGCAACTGCTCTTTACTTTGAAAGGTTTAATTTGTTACTCCACAAACAATGTTTTTCTGTTGATGCTCTTGTAGATATATGAAAAAGATCTCTGGTGGCTGGCCCGTTTAATGACTAAATTAAGAGATGCTTTTTTAGCATATGAAGTCATAAAAAGGTGTAGTAGGCGCTAGATGATTTTAGAGGGGAAATGATGTTTCTTGTGGAGGGTGGGTTGTTTGTCATGTGGTTGTTCTTGTGTTTTTGTTTGAAGGGTGAATTTACATAATGAACCTTATATTTTTAGTTACTTGGAGTCTGTAACCAAAACTGAATCCCATTTTCAGAGGCAGATGCTGATGCAGTCACTTGGAGAATCCTGTAGCTTGTGTTGTGCAGGTTACAGTGTCTCTTGGAATGGACTGTTACCATTCTTAATGCTGTTAGTTTTGTGTGGTGGTGTTTGCACAGCTCTGCAGTGGTTTACAGGCTGGCTGCAATCTGCCATGAGCCAAGGCTGCTGCTGCTGCTGTGAGGGCCCCTCAGTGAGCATGCTCTGCCTCTGAGCACGTCTGTGTTTGTGGAGCTGCAGGCTGAGCTGCCTCAGGAGCTCCTCTGCCAAAATAAACCTGAGTTCTTGTGGCAGCTTTCAGCTGAACCAGGTTTGCTGCCTGCCTGTCTGAGAGCTGGGGAAAGGAAAAGGGGACCTACAGGTGTGTGAGCAGGTGCAGGAAGGAGGGGATAGTGCACCTATAGCCTTATTTGCAGCTCTGCAGTCATTGCCCTGTAATATTTGAAGGGGCTTCACACAGAGCAGCAGGGGAATGAAGAATTTTGTAATGTTTAGACAAGACAACTCTGTAAGCACAGTGGCTGGTGACAGACAAAGGACAAGATTGTATCTGAAACTAAATTCTAAATCATTTCCACTCTCCGCATTTAAAAATTTTAGTGAACTCTTAAAGCTAATAAGCACAATTGTGCAAATAGGCATAATAGCAGAACTTCTGCCATTGGACATAGGTTACTCATGGCTAAAGCCTGCAGGATGATGTTTTGAGGGTGAATCTGTGTATCAGGAGCTCTTGAGTTGTTATCATCCCTCTCAATGTCATGTCATTTATTTTGTTGTTTTGGTCTTTTTATTCATAAGAGGAAAATAAAACTTCGGGCAGTGCAAAATTAACATTTACTATGCCTATCATTTACTGTGCCTTCTAAATGTGTGGTTAAAAAAGGATTTTGCAAAGCAGTGTGCAGCTATTCTGTTTTCCTGTTAGAATTGGAAGTGTGTGGGTTAGAAGCTGATGGAGGATGAGCAGCTGGCTCTGGGCACTCCTGAGACCTGGCCCAGTGCAGAGGTGGGGGCAGGATGCAGGCAGGTCTCCATCTGCCTGGAGAGCAGGAGCTGTGGGGGCTGGGGACAAACAGATCCTGTCTGGGAAAGGGCAGGAAAAAGGGATCCAGTGCCACTCATGTGCTTGGTTCTTGGCTGAGCACCAGGTGCAGTAATTCCCTCCTGGATTACATCCTGGAGCTCTGATGGGTGTGGGGGAATGGCCTCCTCCTCCTCCAGCAAAAGCTGCACTGTTGGAACATCTTAAGTCCAGAGATCCCTGCTGTCTCTGATAAGTGCCAGCTGGGCAGCCACTCACGTGTCTGAAGTTGTGGCCTCATCTTGCTGCACGGGATTAGAGCTGAAAAACCATCTGAGGAGGCTTGATTAGGTTTTCTGCCTCTGCTGCAGTTTTCTGCACAGCCAGTTGCCTTTGGGTATGGCCTGCAGTCCAAGTTTTGCTAAGGTCAAACTTATGAGCAGCATGTTTGATACAAATACTGAAGCACCCATGGGGTCAATTGGATTATTTGAACAGAAACAGTTTTGTACCTGGGTTAATTTTCAGCTGATTCAGCAAATGCAGGGAGTGAATGGGATCCATTTAAACTGACTATAAAGCTCTGTCCTGGAGATCTGTATTTTCTGCAGCTTTTACTGCCACTGGTGAGTCACTGTCATGAGTCTGCACAGGGAAGTATCAGAGGCATTTACATGGACCATTGGGATTTGTGGGCAAACAACCTCACCTTGGAGAGCATGTGGAGGAAGTTGATAGTTTAGGAAGATGTGGTTGGCACAGGATGAAGCACAGATGAGACCTCAGCAATGAGGAGTTGAGTAGAGTTTTCAGGATGAAGACCAGAAGCAAAATTGCAAAATGAAGGAGCCAAGAAAAATTTGGAAAAGGCTGAATCTCATCATCACGAGACAGCAGTGCAGAAAATGTGCAAGTGGCTTACTGCCTGCCTCAAGTGTCATAGCAGGAACACCAGTGCTGCTCTTCTGGCTGCTCACTTCCCAGCCTCTGCCCTTTACCCATCAATATGCTCTCAGTTACCTCCAACACTGTGCAATAAAGGGGGAACAAGAGGGGAGGGCACTGTTCTTTCAGCTGGTAGCAGCTCCTTCAGGATTTATACCCAGTGTTAACTGGGTATAACTGTTCCTTAGGATTTATGGCTCCTTGGGATTTCCTTTTACAGCTCCTCTGCCCATGGATCATATTGAAAAGATGGCTGCAGAGTGTATGAAGGACCTGAATGAAGAGGAAGATGCAGATGATGAGGACTTGGAGAAAGATACAGACCTTCTGGTATGCATAACTATTAGCAAAGAGTTTTAGTATGTATTTTTTTAACAGAACTGCATTTAGCAAAAATGTCTGTTAACTTTCTGGTGAGAAGCTAAAATACTGCAAAAGCACCATTAGATGCAAGTCTTTGCAGGATCCAACCACTGCACAGCAGAGTAAGACAGTTTCCTAACATTTCTATGTGTGGGGGTCTTAGAGAATTGAGGGAAGAGCAGGAATCCCATTCCATGTTATGGGGAAGGACAGCCAGGGACTGTCTCCCTAAAGTGCTGTCTGCCACCATTTTGCTACTGCTTCAAGCAGTGTTTTGGCCTGAGAGAACACCTCAAGAGAGTCTTTGTTTTTTCAGTGACTCATCTCATGGCAGGGTTTAGGGAAGGAGTGTTAAGTTGTAGTTTTGACTGCCATGGCTAGTCCAGGCTTTTTGGAAATTTGAAATTTAGGTTTGCATAATCTTTGTAAAAGTACTTCTCTGAACTTCTCCAGCTTCAGATCTCCAGCCGCAAACTTGTGTGGTGATCCTGGGGCTGCAGTGTGGCTTTTCAGTGGTGTCTGGAACCAGTGTAAATTAATAATAAAAAATAAAATTGAATTTAAAGAAGACTGGAATAGAAGATCTTCAGACTCTTCACTTGGGTTCAAAATCTGTCCAAAGCTTTTGACACTTCAGACTTGATTTTATTTTTGTCTTTTGAGGACAGAGAAGATTTTGAGGAAATGCCTTTTGTTGGCTCTTACTTTTACCTTAGGCAGAGTTACAAGAAGTTCTGGGGGAAGAAGGTGAGGCAGAAAGCTGTGAGGATGAAATGACAGCAACAGAGCCATCCCCAGCTGAAGCAGAAGCTGAGCTACCTGAACTGCAGTCACAGGTAGGAATGAGCTTCATGTTTCTGAGTTTTGCTGAATCACTGTTGTCACTTGGCTTGTATGAGGGTCATTGTCAAGCATCTGGAGAGGCCTTGTCTTCCAAGGAATAAAAATCTGCTGTTGTTGTTTCCTCCAAGGAAAGCAGTGCTGTATGAGTGCAGGTGATCCTTTTGCTTTGTTCCAAGGGTGAATTCTGATGTTGGCACAGAACTGAAGAGGTAAACAATTGGAGACAAGCTTGTATTGTCCCTCATTATACATAGGAGCATGCAGACTGCAGTGCAGGCTTCCAGAGTTCTTATCTTCTCCCTAAGAGAATTGAGCAGTGTGCTGAAATTGTGAGACATAGTTCAATAGTTTTGGGGTTTTTCTCAGTAGCATTATCTGTCTCAGCTTAATTTGTCAGTCCTCATGCAGTCAAATCCTTTATTCAGTCACTGCATGTTTCTATTGTGTGCCACAAATTCCAGTGCCTTGTACACTAGGCCTGTTAGTAAATGGGATTGAGAGGGTTTCTGTAGAGATAATGGCAATAATTACATCAGGAGCCATCTGCAGGGTCTCTGTGGCCGTGGAGAGTTTCTAAGTAGCTGCTCATGACTTTGCTTAGGCTGCTTTTGTCACTGAACTAATTCCAGGCTGTAGGAGGAGGAAAAAGAGCTCTTGTTGTAAACCCAGGTTGAAGCCCAGAAGGGAGCAAACTAACATGGTTTAAAAATAAGAAAAGAATAAGTCAAGATTTGTGCCAAAATACCTCTTCACACCCTCTGTTGTGCAGGGTTTGAGAGGCTTCAGTGTTCTCCTCACCTACTCACGGACCACATGGCTCCAATTACTCTGTGAGTGAGAGTTTCCCAAGTCTCTCCACCCATTCTTCTCTGTGAGGCTTTTGAGAGAGCCAGAGGTGGCTGCAGGGCCCGTTAGCCCAGCACAAACCCTGCTCTGTTTCAGGGGCTGTTCCTTCCTGCACTCTGTTCACAGCAGTGTGTGTGTGTGTAGAAGAGGAGTGTTTGCTTTTCAGTGCGGTGGGAAAACCCGTCTAGCTGGATGAAATAAGTTTTCTTGATTTGTTTTATTGTTTTTTCTGAGACCTCCTCACTTCCTGCTGTTAGCAGTGAGCTGCAGCAGACGCTGCAGGGCAGGATTGCTGACTACAGGACGGCCATTTCCAACGCGCGGGACTCGGGGGAGAGCGCCAAAGTGCGGCGCTACGAGAGGGGCCTCAAGGTGAGTGGGGATCACCAGGGTGAGTGAGGCTGAGGAGAGTCAGCTCTCTGAAGGGTGCTCTTCTCAGCTGGCTGAGTTTGTTGACAGGAAATGAAATTTTCATGTGCTGCCTGGTGTTACTTTAAAAACATTTGTTGTTACTGACTACCCATCTGATATGGCAAACACACAGATGAGGTGTGGCTTCAGCTGCCTTTTGAGCTTTGTTTCTGTTGAATGTCGCAGGTGGTAGCTGGAGGAAGGGTTTGTGGTACATGCTGAAGTTAAACCCAGGTGCCTGGATCTGAATTTGACCTGTGGTGACTGCTCAGTTACCTTAAAGCAAAGTTTAGGAGTTTCCCTAGAACATACACCTTGCAGTTCATCACTGCTGCCATCCCTTAGGTACTAACCTTCCACTCACTTCTGTCAGACAAAGGGAGGTGGTGCCTTTCCCTGAGTGTGTTGGCTGTGCTTGAAAAGGAATAGAGCAGGGTTTTTGATGAAGGCAATTAAGAGCTGCAGCAAAGAGCAGTCTCTCCAGCCTCTCGTGTTCCAGGCAGGTGGCGTGCTTGCAGTGAGCTGCAGTGCTTGTTTACTGCTGGGCAGGGCCTTTCTCTCCCCGTGGCTTTCAGCAGCTCTCCTGCATCACCTCAGGCAGCAGCAAAGCTGAACAGCTCAGGGCTGTGCACTGGGACAGGATGTGATGGCTCACTGGCTGTCTTGGGGTACAGAGGGAACAACTGAGGCCAAACTCAGGAAAGAAAAAGCACAAGAAAGATGTCTGTGTGTGTCCACTGCCTGCCAGCCCTGACAGGAATGTACACAAAAGCACCTGGCCTTTCTGAGAGCCACAGGGATGGGCAAACCAGCTATTCCATCCAGTCATGAGCTAAGTGCACTGTGCCACTTCCTTTATTTCTCAGGGTAGGGAGTTTCCCTGTGCCTGAGCAGTGTAACTGAGGATAATAGACCAGATCTCCCTTCACAGCTCACAGCTACTGAATTAGCAAAATTACATGTCAACAAATGGTGTAGAGTTCTGTCTTCTGTGTAGTTTTGGAACTGTGAACTTTAACCTCAGTCTGTCACCCCCACATGGAGAAGAGGGACCTGCCTATGGGCTGCTGGTCTGAGCTCCAGTTTCACATGCAGTCATTTCAAAGTATGTCTGCCACTGTTACTCAATAGATCAAACAATGCCATGGCTAAAAAAATAAAGCAGTAATTCTGGCACTGATGAGATTTTGTTGTTGTTGTCTTTCTGTGCTTCCATTTCAGTTTCTTTGGAAGATAAAAGAAGTAAAACTTTTGTTTTGGCTTGAAGTGCATGGTGATCTTTTGTCTGAACCTCAAATTAAATTTAAAAAATAAAAATACCGAGGAAGGTAATACTTGGGGAAGAGGAGGGTTTTTTAAAAAATGAGCAGCAGTAAAGCCAAGTTAGAGATGGTGAGAGCTCCTTACCATAGGTGGTGAGCTGAAGCTCCATTTCCTTTATTAGTATTTAATGGCTTTTCTCATTGCATTAAATAGGTTTGCAGAGCCCTTCCTTCCCTGGATCCATGTAGGCAGTGGCATTTCAGAATAGCATATTTTATTACATTTGAAAGATGCACAAAATCCATCTACAGTTGGTGTAAATGGCTTCTTTGGTGACTTTCTGTGACAAAGCTGAGTGGATCACATCAACTCCCCAATAATTCTGGGTGCTGAGGTACCTGCAGTTACCTGGTTAGGGTAACAAGGCCTTTGCTCTGGTATCTGGACACCTTTCACTGGCACTGAAGTTCTCTCTCCTTGCAGAAGAGCAGGGAGCTGAAGGGCAGCAGTCTGTGCGGTGTGTGTGACAGAGCCTGTCATGTGTAAGGGGATGAATTTGTCTTTTAATGATCTTGTGCTGGTAACATGTTTGATGAAAATGCCTGTTGGCTGTGTTGTTCCTTCTGTGCCAGACACTGGAAACCATGCTGGCTGCAGTGAAGAAAGGCAAAAAAATCAATGAGGAAGAAATGCCACCTCCTGTTGCCACAGGAAAGAGTTCTTGTGTACCTCAAGCCATGAGAGTTGAGCTAGAGAATTCAGGAGACTCACCAGAGAATAAAGCTGACTCTGCTGCAGATGATGAGCAGAAGGCTTCTCCTGAGGCAAGGGAGCATTTGGAATCAGAGTCTCTGCAAGGTCGTGCTGCTGCTGATCCTGCTGTGGAAACAGGTACTGTGATCTGAGAGAGGAGCAGTTGCAACCCTATTTTAATGTTGCATCTTCCCTGATGTTTGTGTTGTGTGTAGCAAAGCACTGCTTATGTTGGAGCTTCCTGCTGAATGTCTCAGAGTTGTCCATGGAATGCTGAGTTTCTGGCAGGGGAATCAGTTAGTTTTAAAGCTCTTCTGTGCACTGGATCAGTATTCTTATCTTCTCCTGTGCCTCAGTTTCTCCTTCATTATTTGACTTGTGGAGTCCCAGCCTTTAAAGAGTTTGAGATACTGACTTAAAGACCTTACGATTTTTCTTTAAATTGGGAAAAGGGGAATTGTTGTGTTAGACAGGACTTCTGGTAACTGGAGGAAGAAGGATGTTTGTAAGATGGCTGTTGTGACTTACAGCACAAGGGGACAAATGTGGCTTTGCATAGGTGGATGTAGCAAGGGATGCAAATCTTGCATGCTCTGTGTCAGTCTCAGCATTGTCTCATTCTCCCAGATCCCCAGCACAGCAGCACACGAGCAATCCTGCTGATGAGGCAGAAAGAGTATAAATTAGCAGCTCTAAAAGCCAAGCAGCAAGGGGACCTGGAGAAGGCAAAGGAATACATGAGGGCAGGCAAGGTATGCACTCAAGAAATCCCAAATGCTGAACATACCCTGTGCTGTACCCATATGCATTAAATGTCACATACTGGCTGTGGCAGCTGGCAGGTCTTGGACAGACCAGAATAAACCTTTTGTTTTTTTCTGTGTTAGAAATTCAATGTGGTGTTGGAAGCTTTGGACAGTGGGCAGCCAATAGACCTCCAGAATATGCCTCCATCTCCTCAGGGTAAGGCTTTGTCTTCAGGAAACCTTTTCAGAAGTCTCTCTGTGCTGTAATGGAATGATTCTGCATTTGGTTGCAAAGCTATTAAAAGAACTGGAGATTGTTTAGGATTGAGGCTCACTGCATGTTCATAGTCTAATCAAGACCAATGAAGAGAAGTGAGGTATCATTACTTATATTGCAGTTACTCTCTGTGAATTACAAGTTCCAACAAGTATTGATGTCTCATATTCTGGATTTTTTAAGTGTAGATAATAGCAGCCAGTAGTTGAAGTGGAAGGGAAAGAAGGATAATGGCACATTCTTAAAATTTACTGTAATGTTTGATGGTGTTATCTGCTTCAACTAAAATTCGTGACATTCAGATTAACAGATTGTAGTGCACTAAAGTCTAATTTTTAAAGCAAGTTATCAATATTAAAGGTACCTCAGTCCTGGTAAGAGAGAGTTTTATGTTTTTATTATTTTATTCTAAGACACTAAATGACAGATTATTTCAGTAAATCATGAGAGTCATGACTCAAGTTACTGATCACTAAATGCTATTGCAGAGGAACTTCACCCAGGGCATAACCTTGCCTTAAAAAAGTGTCAGATTTTTGCAGCAAATAATCTCGTAGTTTTCTGTTACACAGTACCAGAAACTGGAGTTTCTGAATAGATGATATGAGTTTCTTCCCTTTCCCAGCACATCTTTTGTTACTAGAATATTTTAGTCAATTAGCAGACTTGTTCACTCTTTCCATCTGCCAAGATACCAAGTTATATTTTGGGGAAAGAATTCTTAGAATACTTGAACTACTTTTACTTTTTTTTTCCCCCTCAAGCAGCCCTAACCAAAATTAAATCAGCATTTGAGATTTTCTCTTATAAAGCATTTTCTGTAGGTAATGGGAACCTTAGACTTATCTAGTTGTGGAGATACTGTTTGGAAGCCAGAAAGCTTTCAGGAAGATAATATGATCAAATTGAAGGTTTTCTGAGTGACATGCAGCAGTAATTGCTGTGTATGGAACATGTTGTGAAACTTCCTGCTTTCCCTGCTTTGCAGATCTTGAAAGCTTAGGACGTGTACAAGATGCATCCAAGCAAAAAGTACCACCTCGGGTGGGAAGTTCCCAGGATCTTGCAACACCTGAACCTCAGACCCAAGAAGCTTCAGGTAGGACTTTTGCATTTCAATATCCACACACAAAAACAACCAATGGCCCTCAATCTTTGTAAAAACCACCAAATCCTAAAAATCCTCAATGACGCCTTAATTGACCTCCCAGCACCATCAAATATCTCAACATGATGAGACTTTGGGTCTCTGTTAGGCATTTGCTTAATCACTGAAATCATCACAGGTCTCCTGCTAGCCATGCACTACACATGTAATAAGTCATGAAAATAGCACAGCTGGGAAGCACTTTAACGTCTGACCTCTCCCACTGAACTGCAGCAGGAGTGAGTAAACCTGGCTGGTGTTCCTGAGTATTGTTTGCTGCTGATCCAATGTACTTTTGTTCTGGACCAGTGATGGAAGTAAAAGTTAATGAACTTTCTAACAGCAGTGTTCATAGTGAAGCTTTCCAGTGCTGTTCTCTGAAGAAGGGGAGGAGACAGCAGCCTGTGTGTTTTGAAATCTCCATGCTGTGGCATTTTGTGGTTTGCAGAGTCCCTGCAGCAGCCCAGGACGGTGCTGGAGGCGCTGCAGCAGCGGCTGGAGCGGTACAGGGCAGCAGCAGCCCAGGCCAGGGCCAGCGGGGACGATCGCAAGGGCAGGATGCACGACAGGATAGCCAAGGTACAGCTGGACTGTGGCTCCTTGCATCCAGCAAAGCCTTTTGAATGAGTTCTCTTGCTGAAGACTTTTTCAAGGCTGAAATAATTTCTGTATTGTCTGTCTGTTTGAAAAGAGGTCCAGTGGGGAAGCTGGAAAGCATTCGGAGGAAGAAATAGAGACAATGCGCATATTGTAGTAAAATACTGACTCTTGTGCAGTGTTTATGCTGGTTAAATACAGATGATTGCTAATTCACAGTCAGCTCTATTTTATGTCTTACTGAGTGCCTTTGATTGCAGCAATACCAAGATGCCATAAGAGCCCATAAGGCAGGGAGAAAAGTGAATTTTGCTGAGCTACCTGTTCCTCCTGGTAAGTGTGACTGTAAAACTGTAAAACCTAATCCCCAAAATTTTGTACACCTGCTAGGCTCTGGAGGGACTGTGCAGGTATTGCCTGCTCCTCCTTTTTCTCAGTGAGTAGCTGGCCTTGCTGTTTGATGGTGTTGTGAGATTTTTTTATTAATATGCTCCCAGACACTGACACTATTGAATATTCGTGCATATTGACAGCCTGATTGACAGTACGGGAATTTAAAATTGGCACTATTTGAAAAGTTCAACTACTTCACCATAGGCAGGTGCTAAAAATGTTACTTGTCTATCCTCTCTGTCAGCCCTCCTAGAGGAAAGACTAAATTTGGGTTATATTGGCTTCTTAGTTTTGCTGGGAAGGGGTTTTTAGAAGTGAAAAAACTTTCCTGATGTCCCCCATTCTGCTGATTCCTATCAGGAGCCTCAGAACTTGATATTAATGAATATCTCCTTGTAAAACTTGTAACATCAAATCAGCATTGCAGCTCTCCTGGCTGTTAAAAGCATCTGCAGAGATGGAGCAAACCATGCCCATGGTCACACTGAGGCAGTGGCAGAGGCAGCAGCTGAGCCTCTTTCTTGAGACACTGTGTCCTGTTTATCTTCTTCAGAACACAGAGTGCTGTGTCTGGAAAAGTTTGGGCAAGGTCATCTGTGAATGCTCTGCCTCTCATTTGCATGATGCCATTTCTCCCCTAGAAACATGTTGCCTTTTATCTTGGGCCTGATGTGTTCTTCTGAAGGATACACTCAGCTCTGCAAAGCAGTGCCTGGATTTTAAGTTAGAGGATAGAGATGGACCTTGTGGTGGTTTTGTCACTGTCAAATGTGGCAATGGCAAGCACTGTAGAGTAGGCACTGCCAGCTCTGTCAGTGTGGCTTTGAAGGTTTCCTGTTTTAAGCTGGCCCTGAAAGGCAGTTTAGCATCCTTTTTTGCAGAATGTGGTCCCTTTCTTGGTAAATACCAGTTTGAGGTACTCCATATTTATACCTCTGGAAATATGGAGAACTGCTCAGTGTCCTTGCACATCAGCTGTGTTTTTCAGCCATCATTTAGGGGCCATGTGATTTACACTGAAGACAATAATCAGGCAGTCACTGAAACCACCAGTGAATTATCCTGGGGTGGCAGTGCCCTTCATGGCATCTGGCTGGTGACAGGTACCAGCCTTGGGCTCCCTGGAAACAGAAATGCTGCTGAGCAGTGGATCAAATGTCACATGGGGCAGCAGCACAGGGTTCTCTGTTCTGCCTGCCTGAGTACCTCAAACTTGTGCTGTAGCAGCCATCTCTAGGTTTAGAAGCAGTTTAGTCACTGCTTTTTAGCACTTCTCATGAGGCTGGCAGCAAGAATACTTGCTATATATTAAATGAAAGAAGTCTTAACAGACATTTTATAGTAGTGGCTCTGGATCTCTGTTCTCTGAAGCTGACACTAAACTGATCCTGTGGTAGTGAGAGTTTATCTTCCATCACCAAGCCTTCCTCCCATACTTAAAAGAATAACAAAACAATGAAGGACATTTTTCTTCATACACTTCTCTTTTAACTTCTCTGATTCTGCCTTAGTTTGCTACCTCTGCACTGCAGTACCTTTTCAGCAGAGGCTGAGTGTGTAACAGCCCAGCTGTCAGCAGTGGATTGTTTATCACTCTGGGGGTAGCAGTGATTTTCTGCTGGGCTGTGTGCGTGCAAAAGTGAGGCAGCACTGAGAGGGGAAAAAGTAGGACTAAATTCTCTGCTGGTTCTGGGGGCATCCCTACTGCTGAAGTCTAGAGGTTGTGAGGTTGCTCAGCTTGGAAAACTGCTCATTTATTGCATCATTTTGCTATCATCCCCTTAAGCTGGGTGTCTGTGAGAGATGTGATCTAAAGCCACCACTCAGACTTGATCTAGCAAGGCTTTTTGGCCTTGGCCTCAGTCTAGTTAGACTGAATACTAAAATACAGTAGATAATAGGTATTTGGATAGAAACAGCTTCCCAGTAAACAAGGACTATGGAGGACACACCACAGGGCTTATGCAACTCTCTCCTCTGTGTTCCTTTCCTGCACAGGATTTCCCCCTCTTCCTGGTGTTGCAGCAACAGATGGTGGCAGCACAATCGCTGCTGTCCTGGAGACTGCCAGCAAGCTGGCAAACATGGAGGAGAATGATGAAGAGGAGGAGGTTAGTGTTGCCTGTAGGATGTGTAAAAGTTCAATTGCCATCTCTTATGGCATGCAGAGATGAGGCCATCGGATTTCCAGGTAAGGAAATGAGCTGAAATACATTCCCAAAAGCCTGAGGAGTGCAGGATCTCAGTAGTCATTTCAGTTTCCTTTATGGAGTAGGAGAGACAGATGAGGTGTTATTACAGTCAGTACCACAGAGCCTGTGAGTGCAGGGTTCAGCTCTTTCATAGCTGTCATATATTTAGATTTTATTTTCAAAGCAAACACTTGAGATCCTCACCACTCCTTTACATTGTTCTGAAGTTAAATCCATACTTTTATCCTGCATCCCAGTAGCTTCCTATGTTTGTTCTTTCCCAGGATGTTCAGCTCTTACTGCTTTTTGTCAGGCTGCACCAGCATTTAGACTTTGCTTTGATTTCTATTTCTCTCTGGATTTGCTTGCTGATTGATTGTGCTTTCAACTGGAGTAGCTTTTAATGGAGAGAATTTCTGGATGATTTTTTTTTACATGCCTCTACTTTTTTAAAAATCACAGCCTTGTTGAATATTCCTTTTATTCCATCTATGGCTTCCATAGGTCAGTTACCTGCTGGCCTGGCATGGCTCATAAACCTCCAGAAGTTAAAATTTGCTGTCTAGAATGCAATGCTCCCCTCAAAAGGAATATCCAAAGGCTGGTACAGTGATAACCATGATGCTGATGCTTGAGATGCTGTCCTCAACCCTGGAACAGATTTTATGCATTTAATATGCATTTCTTTTTGTTTTGCTAGAGTGAGCCTCTTCCCCAGGCCCCAGTTGCCAAGAAGCCAACTCAGGTTGTTAGGCCAACTCCAGTTCCACCTGCTGCAGCTCAGGAGAGCTCTCCTGAGCACCTGAAACGAGCTGCATCCCCCTCCTCCCTGGACAAGGCAGAGTCAATGGATCATCTCCCTCCAGCTGGTAAGTGAAGGGATCAGCATCCCCAGTGCTCCACATGCAAGTGGTTTGCTCTAGTTTGGGGAAGACTTTATAATTTAGGTGTGAGCCTGTGAATGTGTGCCATAGATTTCCTCTGACAGGAGCCTCAATATGTGTGTGCTGGAGGGCAGACCCAGACCAGCCATGCAGCTTTATTTCACAGAGACAGCATGTATAATTATAAGGCTGATTAGGTTTTTTAATTAATTTTGATGTAACAAGTGTATCGATTCATAATGTTTAACTCTGCTCACAGCTGAACTCTCCATGTACCCTCATTAAAGGGGACAGGTTGCCAGTGTGAATTATTCATTGATCTAATGGAGCTCCCTGCATCACACAGAGTTCTCTGCCTGGTGCTTCACCCAGGGGTCTCAGGCTGGCAGTGCAGGCAGGGCTTCATCAATCTCTGCTCTTGCCTTGCTAAGGTCGCTGGGCAGGATGTGTGCAGGGTGAATTGTGCAGACAGTGAGGGACAGGCACCACTGCCAGGGTGGTTTGGGCACACACTGCCTGTGCTCAGCTCTCACTGATGCCTCCACTGTAATCCCATCCTCCTTCCCTTCTGCCCTGGGCGGTTCCCTCAGGATGAAGTAGAACTGCCTGGCTGACTGATGCACTAACTGGTACAATGTAAAGCAATCTTACTGGTGTGGTTGTCCTTAATGTTTTGGCAAGGCAAGAAGAGACTCAAGCATTAATTAGAAACTAAGAGAACAAGAGATTACAGAGAAGCAGAGATGATATGCCTGAATGGGCCTGCACATTGGTTCATCAGGGTTCTTTTCTGACAAATCAGAGGAGAGAAAGGAAATTACTCCAGAGGATGCTCATAATATTTGCTGTTTTTTAGAAGTTAACATGGAGAGCTGAAAGTTTGGATTCAGCTTCTCCCTTGGACCAGTCAGCTGTGCTGGAATCTGTCTCAAGCCTGCAAATTAGGGGCTGTAATAACTCTTGTGCCACTTGTGAAGTGCTGTAAGGTTTTTTTGATGAAGGGTGCTGTTCCAGAAGGAAGCTTGTTTCTTTTTTTAATGCTTTAAAATGCCCAAGAAACAGTTGAGTGCAGTAAGGAAATCTCCTGATTTGACATCTGTCCTTTCACTGATCTTTTCCTGGCTGTAAACTGAACAGGCTAAACCTGTGTCAGGGGCAGTATCAGATGGGTGAGTGTTTCTGTACAACTGTTTTTCAGTTAGGGAGCAGCTGGAATTTCTGGAGAACAGGAAGAAGCAATACCTGAAGGCAGCCATCAAAGCAAAGAGGGAAAACAACCTCGAACAGGCAAAGACATATCTCAGAACAGCCAAGGGCCTTGACCTAAAGATTGAGCAGGCAAAATCTGGCAAAACTGTTGATATTTCCAAGGTTAGTAGGACTGGTAATATTCTGCTTTGTTTCCTATTCTTGGACATCTAAGTGCTTAGTTTTCCCTATAAGGGCTCTGAAATGTGGTGTTCTTGTGTTGCAGCTGCCATCACCTCCTACAGATGATGAGGGTGATTTTATCTTTGTACACCATGAAGATGTCAGGCTGTCTCAGAAAGCAGATGAAGTTTATGCTCAGCTTGTAAAATTGCTGAAGGACCAACATGAGGTGACCATTTTATATTTTTTGGAAATGTTTTGGAATTGCTTTTGTACATTTCTCTGGGGTTTATTAATGCTATAATCCCTAATCCCATCATTGTTCCAGTGGAGTCTTTTTTTTTTTTTTCTTTTAAAATACTTTTGACACTGTGTGTCCTAAAATGGAGAATTTTCAGAGTTGGATTCTATGGATAGTTAAAGCCAGAGGGTGTGCTTTTGAATGCTTGGGACTAGTAAATTATCATTCTTAATTATGAGCACTCAAGTTTCAAAAAAGTACCTGAATATTAAAACTAGGCCTAAGGTGAACATCATATCTACAGATCAGGTGATTAAAAAGTAATAGGGAGAACAGCTTAAACAGATGCTGTGCTTTGGACTTGAGGAATGGGGTGGTGAATGTTCTTGAGTGACTCAGGAAAATGCCTGGTTTTTCTTAAATTAACTTGTCATCAAGCTCAGAACTGTGCCACTCATGAATCTGTGTGGGGATCACTGAGTGAATGTGTTTGGTTTGGTTTTGTTGACAGAGGTGTGTGCAGTACTCCAAGCAATTCATGCATCTGGGAAACGTAGCAGAAACAACTCGGTAAGACCCAGTGCCTGCTTTCAGTCCTCCCCAAAGCTGCTGTGTCAGGGTTGAGGCTGCCTCACCCCCTAAAGATGTTGGGGTTTGAGTTGGTAAGTTTGTCCTCGTGTGAAAGGCTTGGGACTGTGATTCCTGCATCTCCACACTGCTCTCAGCTCTGGCTGAGGGTTACTCTGTGTTCTGTTTGATTTCGAGCACATGTGGGTTTTTTTGCTGATTTTTTTTTTTTTTTTTGCCTTTTCTACAGCTTTGAGAAACTGGCACAAGGTTGTAAAAAGGATATGGAGATCCTACAGCTTGCACGAGCACAAGGAATGGATCCTCCAAGCCATCACTTTGAGGAAAGAACCTTTAAAATGATAAGGTGTGGAAAAACAAAAGTATTTCTCAGTCAGGCTGGAATGACTTTCCTGGTCTTTTGCCCTTGTTTAGGGAATTCTGGGCTTCAGCAAACTTGGGTGGTATCCAGGATTATACTCAGCATTCCTGAAAGGATACTCTCAACAACTTAAATACAAAATTGCTCTCTACCTTCTCGTGCTGATTCTTTTGTTTTCAAAATGCCTCCAGCTTCCCCTCTTATATTCTGTTTCTTAGCCATTCCTCCTTCCTGTGTGTTTCTCCCTCCATCCTGTTGCCTCCTGGGCTTTGTTCCTGGCCACAGGGATATTTTTAGCTCTGTTTGTGCTCTTCCCTTGCTCTGCTGTATTTTGTGGAGATGATCTCTGTAGGAGTGCACTGTTGAAAAAGCTCTGACAAATAGCCATGGCATCCTGGTCTGGCAGTGGGTCAGCTGATGGTGGGATGAATGTGCTTTTTTTCTTTCTCTTTTCACAGGATATTTTCTGATCTCAACAGCACAGAAATGCACCTTCTTATTGTCAGGGGGATGAACCTACCAGCCCCACCAGGTGTGTACTCAGGAGGGCATGTGGGCTGTTTCCTCTGAGTTGGTAAGGAAAGTAATGGGGAACTAAATTTCTCTATCTTGAGGGCCACTTTAGGAGCTAACATTTCTCTCATTAAAACAAAGTAATCACATTTTGGGCTCGTGCCCCCTAAAAACTTTAAACAGTATTTTTAAAAAAGCAGACAGGTGAAGAAAGAGAATCTGGGTTCCATCTGGACAGAGAGAAGAACTTTAAATTTTCCTGGGTTCACTCATAACTGGGTCATAGTTAAGGCTTCATTTTTATCTCCTATTTTGTTACAAGTGCCTGCCTATGAGTTGCAACACTTTGACCTGTCAGTAGACAGGATTTGCTCCAGCCAGTGTTACTGCTTTTAGCCCCTTGTTCCTGGGAGCTTGTAAACCATCTGTGCTAGACTCTTAGGAGTAACAACATTTTAAAAAAAACCCAGGTGTTTTCCCTTGGATGCCAACTTTCCGTGGATTTTGCTTTGATGGATGGGTTATTCAGTTGCCTAGAGGCAGGTCATGAGTCCTACTGTAAAACAGTTGGGTGCTCTTGAGAATCCTGCTCGAGATGACAGATGCAATGACAATGTCTGTACTGGCTGTTTGGATTGGCTGGTTGTTGTCTCACCCAGGTGTGTCACCAAGAGATTTGGATGCGTTTGTGAAGTTTGAATTTCAGTACCCGAGTGCGGTGAGTGTGTCGTGGCTCTTCTGCCCCTCAGTCTGTCCCCCCTGCCACTGCATGAGCTTGTGAGGGCTCCAAGGAAAGGGAGAACACTTGCAGACATCCTGCCTGGATCTGCTTTTAAAGCAGATTTCTTTTTCTCAGAAGCAGAGCTGCTGAGCCTGTTGGCTGCAGGTTTGAGCTTGGCACTTTTCTCTCGATGCTCTCCTCCACACCTTCCCCTTGGCAGGGCGGTGTCTGCAGGTTCTGTAGCGGCAGCACTCAGTGCTCAGCCATGCCCAGCTCTCCCCCTGAAGGCACAATCAGGCTCTCTCCAATGTTGGCAAAATGTGTCAAGGTTCATTTCTTTCAGGGGTGCAAACACACCCAGCACCAGGGCACACAAATTTGTTGCCAAGGGCCACCTTAGATGTGATCTCCCTAAGTCCTCTTCCCTTAAAAATCCAAGCTTTTAAAGGTATTGCATTTGAGCCTCCCTTACAATTGTAGAATTGGATTGAAAGTGTTAATCTTTGTCATCAAATAAATGGTGATTTAATTAGGAAATATATCTATATCTGGAGATAGGACTTGGGCCATGCAAGCTTCTCGCCCTTCCTAATTAAAACTTGTGTGTATGTGCATGTATGTATGTGTATGTATATAAAAATATGTATACACATATGTGTTACTTCTTTCCTTGGAATTCCCCAGTTCCCCAGTGTTATCCTGTTCCTCTCACCTTGAAAAGCAGTCTCTGGTCTGAAAAATACTCAAACCTGAGAGCTAGAAGGGATTCTGGGGAAGGACTGACTGGTCTCTTACTGTCAGTAGAAATCCTGGGGCGCTTTGCTGCTCTCTCTGTAAGACAAAACCAGACCTTGCTCTTGCAGGACTAATGCTTAGCCCTGGGAGAGTGCAGAGCCTAGGGATTTCTACCTCCCAATAAATTTTGCAGTAATTCCACCAAAATTAATTCATTTACCTGTGGGAAATTGGTGATGGTCAGACCAGGTTTGTGTTTAGGGTTGAGTGACTCGAGGCCTTAATGAAGGAGTAGCACAATTAGGGTGGCTGAAACCAGAACTGGTCTGTATGAATAATTTTCTGGGGAATGAATAAGAATCAGCATAGTTCCTTTTAGTCTATTTTCCTTTGTTTAAAGCAGAACCAGGTCTTTATTCCTTAGCCAACAGTCAAATAAATATACCACCTTTCTCCTTTACAGCTGAAATCAGTTTTGCAAAGTAGCTGCAATAATTAGGCCACATTGTCCTTGTTCATTCCCCAGAGATTTAGTTTGTACTCTGCTTTAGGTTAAAAGTTAATTCATTTTGGTGGCAGATTGATTGTCAGGGAAAATAATAGTAGGACAATTCCCTGAATGATTTGTTGATGAATTCCTTGTGTAGCTTATTATTCCAGCTAATGCAGGAGGAACAGAATTACTGTGTGCTGGAAGGTGCACAGTTTGTCATGGAGTTTAACAGCCCCAGTCAGGAACTTTATGATGATTGGATTGAATTGACTGTGACTATGTAGCTTATCTATGGCTCTCATATTTAATGTACTGTTTTGGCTTATTCTTTCTGCAGTATTATCCTTGTTACCACACTGCAATCCAAGTATTTTAGTCTTGAATATACCATGACTCTTCTTATTTAGATAACCCCTAAAACCTCACATTTCTGGTATAGGCATAAAATAGAGCTGGCAATAAAAATGGTCTCTAGTCTGTTTTCAAACAATACCTGACAGTTTTATGTGATGTCTGTCTCTTTTTTTTTTTTTTTTAATAGGAACAACCTCAAAAGAGTAAAACACCTGTAATTAACAACAACAATTGTCCAGGTGAGCCCTTTTTTTCTGGAACAGGAGGGAAAATGTTGCACCTTGGGAATCCCTGGACAGTGCAGGCTGTTGTCAGACTGTGAACCAGGCCAGAGGTCCTCCCACCACCAGTTTTCTTCTTTCTTATGAAAGGGTTTGTTGGGGGGTGAAGTCCAGCTGTGTTGGCAATTTCTTCCCCCTCATCCCAATATTGGTGGTAGCTATTATGTCATGAATTATACCAGTATTCATTTATTATCCAAAACACCCTTCCCAGTAATTCCAGGCTTACTCTGCTTTTTCTTTAATATTTTGTACATTTTTTCACAGCCACAAACACTGTTTACGTGCTGGAAGCCCTAAACTCTCTAGTTTTAGCTCCCCAGTGCCCTGCTGTCAGCTCACAGTGGTTTGGTTTTCCTGCAGTTTGGGTTCTGTCCCTGTAAGGGGAGGGTGACGTGAACTGTGCACAGGGACACACCCTGGGCCTGACTGAAACACCCTCCTGAGGAGGATTGCTGTGGGCCAAACTGAGACAAAAGAGCTCTGAGCAGTGCATGGGATGGAGCCCTGCACAGCATTTGACTCACAGGTTTCTTCCCCTGTCCTTATTTCCCTGCAGAGTACAACCAGCTGTTCAAGCTGAACATCAACCGCAACCACCGCGGCTTCCGACGCGCGGTTCGCTCCAAAGGAATCAAATTTGAAGTGTTCCACAAAGGGTGAGTCCAGTTTGCTTCTCTGCTGACAGCTCAAAAGAGTGTTGGAGCTGAAGTTTATGAAGCACAATCTCTAAGCCAGCACTGAAGAGTTGGCTGGTATCCATGTCTGAGAGTTTTCAAAATGTGCCTGAGCTCTGCTGCTTCTTCCCCTGTGGGGTGAGGAAAGGCACAAATTCACTGAAGCTGTTTCAGATCAGTTGAGGATGTTCATGGGACTGAGCAAGCAGTGATTTACCTCAAATTGTTTTGATTCTTACCCAGATTGGTTTCAGTCATCAGGACTAGAAAATTTAAATATTCTGTAGAATAACTCCGTAAAATAATGAAGTGGCAGCAAAATATGAAGAGCAGGAAAGCAGGTGACAGGTGATGGCCGAACTAGAGTTATGTTTTTGTACTTTCATTCATTGGATCTTGCAATACCTCCTGAGCACTGCTGGCAGCTGCCTTGAGAGAGACAGACTCCCCTCATCTCAGAGAGCAGCATCACCAGATCAATGTTCAGTGTTCAGGGAGATCATCCCCAGTCCAGGCTCATAACCAGGATCATCCCCAGTCCAGTTATTCACAATAGGAGTGTTCTGTATTCCCTCATCCCTGGGTTGGTTGTGATCCCAGACTGTGATGGGCTGCCAGATAATCTGGTTTTTGTTTGGTGGCTCTCTGTCCTATTCCTTGTGGATATCACTGGGCCATGCAGAAATTGTCCATAGGTTTTCTGAGATGGTTTTCAAGTTGCAGATGTTTCAGTGTGTGACCTGAAGTCCCACTGTTTTACTCCAGATCATCCATTGCCATCTCTGTTGAAGCAAAAGTTGATTTTCTAATTTTTTTCTGTCAATCCTGGCAGCTCCGTGTTCAAGATCCCCCCTCATTTGCACAGAGCTGTCAAGTGTTTACATTTATTTTAAATGGGGTTTCTATCACTTTTTCCCAGCTATCTCCTTGGGAGAAAGGACAGGATGAAGTGATCTTTCTAAACACTGTCTGCTCCCTGTCTTTTCTAAAACTACAAATGAATAAAACTTTCAGAAATGCTTTGGTGGTTGTTGTAACTTTGGGTTCTCTGATAGCTCTTTGACCATCTCCCAAGAATTATTTTTGCTCAGTGAGCAAAGGAGACTTGTTTCAGGTCATATATATTAAACTTCAGTTTAACAACACTTTCAAGTAAAAACTCAGCAATGTATTTTTCCAAAAGAAAAGTCTTTTCTTGAGCCTCTCCCAAAAGCTTCTGAAGATGAAAGGGGATTTCCCCAGAGCTGTTTCTGAAGCCATAGCCTAGAGCAAGTTCTCAGTCTTCACAGCAGCCCCCTGGAACTGGGCAGGGATGAACCAGTCTTTGTTTCTTGAGTTATAAAATGGAAAAACACTTTAAAAAACTCAGCAAGAATTGCTGATTCTCTGAAGTTTATGAGCAAAGTGCCCCACATGCTGCAGTACAGTTACATAACCCCTCATTTAAGGTCCTTGTGAAGTGAAGGAAGTACTCCAACATGTGAGCTAAGAAACTCTGAACTTCCCTAAATTGTTCTGTGAGTCTGCTGTGGCCTCACTGATTGAGAGTCTCAGTCTCCTGTTGCCACCAATGATGTGATCATGAGGCTCCATGAACAATCTTTGAGCTTCCATTGAATATCTCAAGTCTTGCTTGATAGTACCTTAGTATCTCTTAATGATAATAGGAAGAAGAAGGGTGGAAGTTTTGGGGTTGTGGAGAATGAGTTTTTTTATGTTTGTTAGTCTGGTTGCTTGTTTTTTCTGAAATAGAGTGGGTAAAAAAGGGAAGCTTCTGAAATCTTGGAAAATTTCCAAGAAAACACAGCAGGTGTGGCCAAGTTATCTTTTTTAACTCCAGACTCTGTAGGGTTTAGTTGTTTATAAAACCTTTTGGAGACTGGTTCAGGGAGCTGCTTGGATGCAGGCAAAGAAATGCTGTGTTTGAGCTGAACAGTTCTGTGGAATTAGGGTGGTTTAGTCTTGGCTGTTGCCTTTTGGAGGAGTTTGTCTGGGTAAGGGCTGTAACACCTGGCTCTGTGCAGGTAAATTGCTGATTTATTGCTGATTAAACTGTTCAACACAAGTGACTCCAGCAAGAAGTTGCTTGTTTTCCTCACAGGGTAAAAATACTTCTGATTTTAATTTCAGCAGACTGGAAAACCTAAAATTATTGGTTTTGACTGTTAAAACTACCAGTATGTAGGTGAATCCAAACAATAGCTGAAATGTTCTTATTTACTGAAATTGTTTTGATTTATCAAGACAAAACAGAATGATTCATGTGACTTTTTCCTAAAAGTAGTTTGCCAAAAGCAACAAGTGCCTGTGAAATGTTTGTTTTGCTGGGAGATGCAACTTCCTTGGGAATTCCTTCAGCCTGTTCTGTTAAACAGCCCCAAGCAGGGGATGGCCCTGTCCTGGCCACTGGGACCTCCTTCCCTGTCACCCCAGGCAGGGACAGGAGCTGCTGCCACTCCAAGTGCTGGTTTAGTTGGTTGTTTTTCTTCACTGCTGTCCTCATCTTTACCTTGGTTGCAAAAGAATAATTAACAAATGAGTACTTCCTTATCTTGTTCTTTGTAATCTGGTTTTTAAGGGTGTGCCTCTGGCACTGTGATGTGCAAGGTTCCAGGAGCATGTCCTGACCAGCCCTCTCTGGATGTGGGGATGGAGCAAATAGTGATGACCTCTGGGCTTTTCTTTTTATGTTCTGACAGTCTTTACCCCTTGACTTCTTTGGCACAGATCCTTCTTCAGAAGTGACAAACATGTGGGGACAGCACACTTGAAGCTGGACAAGCTGGAATCAGAATGTGAAGTTAGAGAGATCATCGAGGTAGGATTTTGGGATGAGGTGTGTTCTGCTCAGAATTTCAGCCCAAAGGGGAAAGGAGTGTCTGGATCACATAAATGTGTGACTGCAGTTGAGTTTTGTTATTAGGTGGATTTGATAACCTGCCTGGGTTGTGGGGAACTGCTCTGCTGAGCTCCAGTCCAAGGAATGCTTGGCTGTGACACTCCCAGCACTGCAGTCACCTGCAGGCATCTCTGTCATGCTTGGGCCATGGGCAAATACAGCCACAGTTGTAAAGCTTAATATTATAATCCCTGTTTGTCCTAACTGCTCTTCTTTTTGTGGTTATTTCAGATTTTTGATGGCAGAAAGCCCACTGGAGGGAAACTGGAGGTAAAAGTGAGACTCAGGGAGCCCCTCAGTGGTCAAGATCTTCAAACAGTTACAGAAAATTGGCTGGTCCTGGAACGTTAGTTCTGTCTGAGGTATGAGCACTGTGTCCAGAGGTGGTCTGGGCAGGACTTGACAGGGCTGCAGAAAAACTCTGCTTGAACAATGTCTGTTGTTGGCATTGACCTAATTGCACTGCTCTGGCTTCAGTAGCATTTCTCTTTATATTTGTGGTGGGGAGTTGACATCATTTCATAAATGAGGTTACAGAATCTCTGATTAGTTTGTATCTCAAAGATGCTGTTTCACAATCATTTGAAATACAGGGACAGCTCCTGCTGTCACCTTTACTAAGAATATTATTTAGAAAATAAGTGATGAGTAATCTGTCTTCCTTTACTTGATCTCCTGAAGCCTCTGTGCTCCCTCTTCCTTAGCATATGGTTTCACTTTACATTTATAAATGGCAGTTAAGCAAATACTCATCAGCTTTAGAGTGACATCCTGTTTGGAAGCAGAGGTGTGGCAAATGGTGTCAGATTGTAGAGACTGAGGTCTCATTTCAATACAGGAGTCACCCTTTGGGTGTCAAAGGGCCTGTTTTGGTGGTGTCCTCCAAGCCAAGGAGGTCAGGAGGTCCTCTGAGCTCTGTTCAGGCTGAGGGACACGTTTGATGACCATACCTGAAATAACAACTTGGCCTCATGCCCAAGCACTTTCTATCACTGGAGCTTAATAATTTTGCTCCATTGATTTTCCTGGTTGACCATCCAGAACCTTGGTGTCAGCATTTTCCATACAATGTCTCCTTGAGCTGTGAGCATCTGTTCTGTACTGCAGCAAGGAATTCTGATGGGTTTGTTTGTGCTGTTTTCCCCAGATCCGTGGGAATGTTGGAAGTCGTGGGCTGAGCGAAGGCAGGAAGATGCTGCTAAGCTGCAAGCACCAAAGATGTTAAATGAATGCACTACTGAACCTAATGTCTATTTTGATAACAGCCATAGTGCTTATTAATAACTCCAAGGCAAAGGGAGGCTCTGGGAATGCGCTGCTGCAGGGCTTGGGACCGGTCTGCCCAAAATAGACAGAATTGCCTTAATGTGGGACTACTGCTGTAGCACCAGGATGAATGTTACATTAACTATGCAGAGTGCTGTGGAAAGGTTTAGCCCTTTAAAAATTCCCTCAGGCAGTGCCAGAGCTCTTTGGTTAAGTCACAGGTAAGACCTTCACCAGAACTCCTGTTCCCAAGTGTCTGAGCAGCTGGCGTGGTTCAGTGAACAGTCTGCTACTGCTTTGTCTGTCCTCTCCTGTCCAGGCCTATTTGGGTTGGGGTCTGTTTTTGTTTCCTAAGTCAGAGGAGAGCTCTCAGGCAGCAGTTCAGGGGTGCCAGCCCCTCCTCTGTGCACACCCTTGGCACGAGAGGCTCCAAGGGCTGTCCCTTTCTGCAGGAAAGGCCCCAGGGCTCCCCAGCAGGTTGGTGTTTACAGACCTCTGGTTTTGTTCTGGCTCCCAGTTTTGTGTGCTGTGCTTGCTGCACTGCTTGTCCAGCGCAGAAAGGTACTGTGCCTTCATCCTTTATGGTGTTGGGGTTTTCATTTAAAGAAGAAGAAAGTACATAAGACTCTGCTGCTTCCCAAATGTTCCTTGTATTTTTACAAAAATAGGCTTTTACAATTCTTCCAGGTGACGGGGAAAATAGTCTCATTTTGTCCTTTAAGAAAACTGGATCGTGATGCATTTTCAGGAATGCTTTTTGATCAGCAGCATCCCACCAAGGGTACTAAATCTGTTTGTGTTTTTAAATCTCTGTGAGCTAACAGAAACCAGGGATCTCCAAGGGGAGGATGTGCCTGTGCCAGGGATGGGCAGGCTGGGAGACAGAACAGACTCCAGACAGGTCAGGCAGCTCTGCCTCTGTCTTCCTGAGCAGATGAAGACAATACAGTGTTTAGTTTTTAATTTCAATAAATTTAATATACAAAACTACATGTTGAAAATAAAAATATAATATGCAGTTTTTTGCAGTGTTAACTAACTGAATTTTAAAAGTACAATTTTTTTCTAAACAAGTACTCATTTCTTAACAACATGGTAATTAAGGTCATTTCAAAGGCTATGGTTGAAGCAGACATGTCAGTCACCAGTTGATAGTGTTTTGCACAAACAGAATCCAAACCTAAAAGACTTCTGGGGCAAAAGAAGAAAAGATAAACATTTTTCACCTCTTTTACTGCGTTATTAAGCAGAACAATGCAACTAAAGTAACTGGAAAGCTGCTGCTGTGGCAAAGCTGGAGTGCAGGCTCTAGGAGGAAGATTATCACCAAGTTTCTGGAATGCTCTTCCAGCTGTGGAACCGTGCCTACACCGTGTCGTGCTCAGCTGTGTCCCAGAGTGTGCAGAGCCAGGGTGCAGAGGGGATCAGGTGGCCTCAGTCCAGCTGGGCTGCTCAGGCAGGAGCAGGGGCTGGGTCACAGCTCCTGCTTTGGCCAGCAGGAGCCACTGCATGAGCTGCATTGTCACCCAGCCTGTCCCAAATGCCAGAGGTAAGGCTTCCCTTGGATGTGACACCCTGTACAGTGTGGTACTGTGCTCCCTCTTGCTGGCCAGCTTTTGCTTGTGGAGTTGGCCCCAGTTCCCTTGCCTGGGGCTGGGTGGTGCCAGCTGTGATTGGGAACATTGGATTTGTCATACTTTGTTTTTTGAAAAGCAGCAGCCATTTATTCCCAAGTGCACTCTGTGCAGACACTGGGCTGCCTTTCTATAAAACTTATCACTGTGCAGGTACCTTTCCCTTGGCCAGCCAATGGTGTTGATTTGTTTAAAATCCAGAGCCTCAGTCCCACAGTGGCCTGGCACTTCTCTTTGTCTTTGCAAGGCCACTGGTGTTACTGTGTCACAGCTTCCCCAGAATGGACGGCATTAGGGAGTGTCTGACACCACAAATGTTCACCATAAATTAGCACCTCTCTTCCCAAATTAATTAGTTCTAGACAGGAGGAGAAACCTTCACCCCTCTTCCTGGGAGGGACTCAAAAGAGCTGCATTGCATGACTGGCTAAACAAACCAAACCCCTTCTCCTGCTTACAGCTCTTGCCACTGGTTAGCAGCTTTCCATGGAGACAGTAAGAACATGGAACCACATTTCCTCTGGCTGATGCTCAATTCCAGCTTCTTAAGGCCCTGGCAGACACGAGCAGCTGCTCTCCTTACCAAAGCCCTCTCAGGTGAGACCAAGAGCACTGGGCCGAGTGCACATGTTCAGAACTGACCACAAAGCCTTTTTTCAGCAGAACATGCAGGAACAGCCACTCTACACTGGTATCACAGGTAAGCTTGGACATGGGGCTGCAATATGAAGTACAAGCTGGCTCGGGTTACGTGACACTGGCGTTACACTACAGCGAACAGCAGGGAGGGGACACAGCTGCCCTGGCTGGGACTCATCTCAAAGCAGGACCTACTGGGGACAAGGAACAAGATGGAGCTGCACTTCAGGGCTGATCTTTCCTCTGTTTCAGACAGATTTGTAAACAAGGTACAGAACAGCAGAGTTGTTGTGGATCACAGAAAGCTGCCCAAGTGACAGACTTTTGTGGTAAATAGAGGAGAAGAGGAAACCAGCCTATTACACACACACAGCTGCAGAGAGCTGCCTGTCCTGCTCCTCTGGATGCACAGACAAACAGGGTTATGGCTAGGGAAGCTTTCCCTATCTCTCAAGGGCTTCTCCAAACATATTTCAACCAATAATCTGGTCAAAACAATGTAAACGTTACATTTTAATGTCTATAGAATAACCACAATGGCATTAGGATGAGGTCAGAATGGAGGTCTTGATTGTTTCTTACATGTCCATCTACAGACAGTACAAGGTTGGAATTTCACTTTTTATTTACGCCCCAGTGATCTTTGCACCCTTTGAGCATTTAGAGTACACGACTGTAAGTCTTTAAACATGAGCATTTTTCTAAACAGTAACAGAAGTGGATTAGCTGCAAGGATAGCATAGCCATGTTGTAGTATAGAAGCTGCCCTGATCCTCTGGTTGTTGACAATGCATAGAAGATTTAGAATTATGGAACAACTGTCCCACCCCCCTCCCCCCCTTCCCCAATAGTGTTAACAAAAGCTTAATTTTCCAGTTTTAAAGTGCAAATGATTCAGATACAACTGCTGCTGGAACAGGTCTGAACAGAAAATGAAGTCCTCTTATGAGATGTTTTCCAGAATATAAAAGATGAGCTCCATTATGACTGGCCCCTCACTCAACTGACAGGCCCCTCCATGAATCACTGGCACTAAGGCACTGTCCAGGTCATTCATGTATTGAGAGGGCAGTGGCTGTCCATTGCTCCCAGCTTGATAACCAACCTAAAAAATACAAAGAGGGGGTTTTTAAGAACAGGACACGAGGCTGTGAGTCAGGGGGCAGGAAGGGAGGAGGAGCTGTGGTATCTCCCAGGGAAGTCAGGAACTTGAACTGGATCGAGCAGGCACTAAAGGAGCTTTTCCACTTGTCTTTGTGCTTCTTTGTGTTCCCAGTGGCTGCCTGAGCAAAAGGAAGCTTTTCCTCCTGTTTTCTCACAGCAGCTCCCTGGGATGAGCAGGACCCTCACACTTGCTGGCAAAAAGGCCAGTTCAGAGTCTGCTCTGAGCACACAGCAGGCACTGCTCGTGCCATATGGGGGTCAAGCCTGTGTTAATTCAGGCTGGCCTTGGATCTAACAGATGTCCCAAAACACCAAACAGCAGCCAGCACCACCTGATTAGCATCTGACACTGGTACTGCTTCAGCATTCTCCTGGTTTAAGTGGTGTATTCCCATTCTGGGGAATGAACAAGAGAACAATCCCCCAGTTAAACTCAAACTATTAAAGGCTTACTTGATCTGAGTCCAGTGTAACACGCAGACCCAGCTTAGTCATTCCATCTTCTTTCAGCAGTTTCAGATGAGGACACAGAGCCAGACAGAAAGCTTTTGCCACATTCTCAGTCAGTCTGCTGTGATCAGCTGGGTCACTCAGACCATTGTGTTGCTCATCATTTTCTAGAAAAAACACCTGAAGGGAAGAGTCAACACAAGACATAACACTTGGCTTTTCTAGAAAATTCAGGTCGGATGTCATTTAAACTTCTACAAATGGAGACTTAAGAAGTAACTGTTCAGGAAAGCCCAGCAAAAACCCCTAAAGACAAGCCACCTTAGGGAGGAAAAATTAAAAAAAAAAATCAGAAGAAAGATTTAAATTTAAATAGTCCTCTGAAACCTCTAAGATCTGGTCAAAAGCCTTGCTATGGAAATTCACTATGTATTGCACATGGTTTTAATAAAAATCTGCTTTTAAACAGATGTTAAGTTCAAAAAATTATACTTTTAATACAAGCCTGAAAATCTCTGCTATTTTGGTCACTGCACTTGTTTCTGTTGAGCCCAAGTGACCTGGGAGAAAAGGGCACACAGGGGCTGAGTGCAGAGTAAGGAACCTGGTTCCTCCTCAGCAGGCAAAGTGAAACACTTACAGAAATATTTTGACACCAGCGTTTGTGTGCTGGCAGAGTCACAGGCAACATCAGCCATGCAAGCAGTTTCTGCGTGATTTATGCCACAACACTTTAACATGCAACACTTTAGAGAAAGTGGCTCGAAATAACATTTCTAAAAAACAATTTATATTAAGATTTGTCTCCATGTAGAAAAGCAGCTTTTAACCCAAAGGCAAATGAAACCAACTGTTCTGTGTGTAAGGCAGCAAGTGTTGTGGTGGTGTCTGAACACATGCTGAACACCCTGATGGGAGCAGCGCTGGCTGGTGCAGCGCGGGCTGTGGCTGTGACAGGGGGAGGATGTTTTATCCCTTTGATCCTGCAGGATGCCACCCTGTGCAGGCAGGAAAGGCACCACAGCCTCGTGGGGAAGCAGAGGCTGCTCCCTGTGGTGCCTGGGGGAGCAGCTGGACACAGCCCTGGGCTGACAGACCCACCTCTGTCCAGCGGATGACCTTCCCGTTGGCCTTGTACTCGGAGCCGTGGAATATCTTCACACTGGTTATGGATTCCATGGATTTGCCATCAATAGGGCTCACAACGCTGCAAAAGGGAGGGGGGAGGGTGAGCTCTGACTCAGCACCAGAACTGAGCTGGACAGAGCCCTGTGCAGAAGAGAATGACCTTGGAATCCAAGGGCATTCCTGAAAGGGGTCACATGCACAAGGCAGGTGCAGAAGGAGCTTCCTGAAGGTTTCCAACAAAGCTTTGCAGCAGAGCTGAGATCCTGTAGGGTTCTGACAGCAACGAGGCATTTCATACAGGTTGGATTTTTGCTAATTTGTAAACTCAGTGTAGGCCATCAATACCTAAAACACAACTTACACATTCCAGGACTTGATTGCAGAACCTAAGATTGATCTGGAAGCCTGAAACTACAGAAATATCCTTCTTTCTAGGTGCTGAGTCCTGAAATATGGAATCCATCACAACAGCACTTTACTGCCATAAATACTTCAGCTGCCAAATCCACCTTCCTTTTGGCTTAACTATCAAGTGTCCAAAGATACTGTTGATGGTCAGCAATTTTGTTTCCAGCTTTACTTAATGCAAACTAAGCACCAACAGTGCAAGGTGACCACAATGTGCAGGGTTCAGCACTGAGAGTGGGAGACAGATTAGTGGTTTCCAATAACTGGATATTGGCAATGCCAAAAAAAATCCATAGCATTGCCAATATTCTAAATTGATGCCCCAAAGCTCCGGTATCTCAATTCCATTTTCATTACAATTAATTGCATCTTATCACTCACAACAGAGGTGCAGACTTTTAATTCCTATTGATTTGAAGACTCATGTGCCTTACAAGATCAATTAAAATTCTTAACAGGCACCAACATCAAGTGCTCTTCTACTTACCCCTTATTAAAGTTTTTATCATCTTCTACCCACTGAATGTGAACGTGTTCCTGAGGATCTTCAGCATCTACTTTGCCACAGGTGATGGTGAAGTCTTTCATCTCTCTCAAGGCCTGTCTCAATGAGTCCATGTTCTCAGCAGTTATCTGGACCATCACTCCATCTAGGGAACCAAGAAATCCTCATTAGCCAAGATAAGCCATGCCAACACGGCCTATACAGAAAGAAACCAAACATCCTTCATGTGTTTGCAACAGGGGTGAAATGTTCATGGGCAGCAGTGCTCCATAAACAGACATCTGAACAGTCACCTTCCTAAACTGCAAACCTGCTGAGTGCTGATGAGGGAAAACACAACAGCAAGAGAAGGGCAGCTCCCAGGTGAAGTCAGCTGTAGTTAAGTCCCTGTGAGTTTGCCTCTCAACCTGACACCTGCTCTAGGCGACCCTCACAAGCGCCACATGGCACTGCTCCATTGAGCTGCCTCCTCTGATGGCCCTGGAAGCAGCACTCAGCAGTGAGAGTGGCTGACATGTCAGTGCTTGCCTGACAGTGGCAAAAGTGGGCACTGAGAGCAGGAGCACTGCTACAGCACTCCTGCCTGCACAGCTGTGCAGCTCAGCTTGCAGGCACTAACAGCTTCCAGCCAGAGCACCCCAGGGCAGCCCCTTCTGTGACACAACAAACCAAATCCAAGAGGGGCCAGCTCGGTGCTTTCAACCTGTCCTGTTCTCTCTGCCCACATACAAGCACATCAACAATGCACATTCACACCCCACCACACTGCAGAGCTATTTGGAAGCAGAGGAAGTTTAGCAGGGCTTCCTCTGCTGCTTGGTGGATTACACATTCTGTATTTCTTAGGCTCACAGTTGCCTCATTCAACCCAAACCAGTGAATCCATCACAGGTTCCCAAGCCAAGTATTTTGTATCTTACCCTCATTTTCTTGGGACCCTGTTTTGCAGCATCTGCACAAATTCCTCCTTGTTAAAGGAACTGGGTGGTTTTTGCTTAGAAGTAGGATAAAGCTGAGCAGCAGCAAGACTGCAAGGCCCAAGGCATATGAGCAGAGAGAGCCCTTTTAGCTGCAGAGCTGAGCTGGGCCAAGAGAGAAGTGTGTTTTAAGCAAGCAGTTCAGTTCTTACCTTCCACTATACTGGATTTGGCAAGGAAGCCTGAAGAAGATTTTAAAGCTCCACTGAACACAAAGAAGCTGGCACCAGTCACTGCAACAACAACAACAACAACAGGAGAGATTTAGTGAGGCTTTTGTCAACGCATTGCCTTACCCAAGAATCAGGTATCAGCTCCATCAGCCAGAGAGATGATTACCCTGAATCAGGACAAATGCTGCTTGGAATTATGGTGCCTGTACTGCACATCATAAGCTTGGATATGCAAAGGCAAATCACCCAGTTATTTTCTAAACTGGACAACAGTTTTTGTCTAAGTTAATGCTCGTACTTTATCACTCTCCCTCTTCATGCTCTATACACCTCTGAGTTTCAGAATTACTAATTTTGGGCAACAAAGTACACAATTAACTTCTAAATGTTCCCACACAGGTGGCAGATTGTGAGTGAGCTGTTTATGGATCACACTAACACCAACCCACCAGCAAGGCCACAGCTCAAAGCCACTTGACTTAAAGGAGAATTATCTTCAATGACAACTAAGCATCACTAAATTCCTGCTGGAAATCCCTCTTCTTGTTCCAGAGGTGAAGTTAACAGAAGTCAGACAAGACCATCAGTCCCAAGTGATATTCCATGCCAGTACATCTGCTGGAGTCACCAGTGATACTTGCAAACCACCCAAATCAGCCTCTGTCTTGTTCTCATTTGGAGATTGCATAAATGTCTTTGCTAGAAATGTCCCCAAACACAAAACATTTAAATTCTCAGCACACAGCTGCTGCAGCCCTTCAGCCTACTGTAACAAAAATATACCCTGGAAATTAGATGGTCTAATTAAGGTGAAAATGAGAAGTTGCTTGAAGATGCATTATTACAATGCTGCTGTGGTTGGTTATTCCTATTTAGCTTTCTGTCCTACTAAATCTAGTCTTTCTTTCACACAGTGTAGGTCAAGCCCAGGCAACCACAACCTCACCTGCACATCCCATAATGCCAAAGCCAGCTCTCATTATTAATGGAGAGGTGTTATCCAAGCCAGCTCCAGCACAAAGCTGCCCAGCCAGGGACGCCAGAAGTCAGACTGATTTTCTCTAACAGAAACTGGGTGAAACCCAGCCAAACCCAGCTGTAGCCAATTCCCAAAGCTGGGGCAGGCACACAGGGGCCAAGCAGCCCAGGCAGGGCTCCCCTCACCTTTCCTGGGCTGGTTGTGGATGCTGATGGCCTGTGTCTGGTAGTTGCCGTCGTCGTTCTGCACGCACACCAGGTGTGAGTCTGCCTTCTCGTTGAAACACGCTCCCCCTGCCAGCACGTGCTCATTGGATTTGTTCATGGCTTTCATCATCTGCAAACACAAAGCTTCAGCATTTCCACCCAGCCCATCAAGCACTTCCATAAATAGGTGGTTCTTGGAGCAGTTTAATCAGGAGCTTCTCAAGTTCTCATATTCCATGTCAGGCTTTAGCACTCAGAACCATAAACTGCTTTTTGAGAAGAGGGTTCAGGTCTTTTACTGCCTGGATACTTTAAAGTGCCATCTTGTGTGCAATTAAGATAAGTGGTAGAAGGGATAGCTGAGCTACTGAAATTGCAAAAGCTGTTATCTCTACCTGGTTTTAAAAATACACAGGGGAAAAAGCCATGAGAAAAACCCTGGGAGGAAATACAACTGCAGTTGTTAATGACATAAATCACAAATGCCCCTCCACAGTTCAGTGCCACATGGGCTCTCAGACTGGGGCCATTTCATCCTCTACTGCCACAACCAGACACCAAATCTTCAGTGTCTCTGTGCTTCACCTGCATGAACTGGTGAAACTGGGATCAATGTTCCCAATTTAAGACTTTTAAAAAACATCCAAATTTTCTTTCTCTGCAAAGGAGGTCTCCAGAAAGCGTCCAAAAAAGTTTGTGACACATTTGCCCTTCTGCTATCATCTAACAAACACTGAGTTAGACACCTTTACAAAATACCCTTGTGGATTATATAGTTTCTTTTCCCCACTATTCCTCTTCATGGAGGCTCAGGCTTGGTGATTTTTGATACAAAAGAAAACTGAGGGAGTCACCCAACTCTGGAATTTGTTTCAAACAGGAAAATGGCATGTTTGCTTAAAATAAAAAAAAGTGAAATTAAATGACACAAATCCCCCGCAGTGAAAACCCAGAAAAATACTGAATTATTTGACATCTCCTAACAGCATTCACACTCCCACCTCTGCTTCCTGGAGCTCATAAGCATGCAGGCTACACACAACACATTTGTCTCTCTCAGTCCAATGTAAAACCTTAATTACAGTGTCAGGAACATTAACTGATGCTCACTATTGACAAATGTGCACAGGTGTAATGTTTGGGGAGGAAACTTAATTAAGATTTTACATCAGACATCAGTGTCTTTCATTATTAAAGTTGATCATGCCATGCTCCAGAAACTGGATTTTAGCTCCAGAACAGCCACATTTGTGGAGCCCAGCAGTTGCCTTCAGCACAAGAAACAACTGGACGGGGCAACTGTGCTTCCTTAGAAGGCAGCTGATTAAGGAATGTCACCTTTGCTGAAGGATTAAACAGACAACTAAGACCCTCTAAGCTTTAGAAAATTTGATTAATTTTGAAAACAAAAATATGTATTTAATAGAAAAACTAAATATTAATGTGGAATTTGCTAATCACAGGTTGAATTTTCCCCATTTAATACACACATGAGATTTCAAATTAGTTTTTCACTTTTTAGATATTGAAAATATCTGAGTAACAGTCCTGAGTAAATAAAAGTAAAGGTGTTATTATTTAATTCATCTTGAGACTGGCTCAGTTGGTTAGAGGAGGGTGATGGTAACACCAAGGTTATGGGTTTGATCCCTGTATGGGCCATTAACAGTTGGACTTGATGATCCCTTGTGGGTCCCTTCCAACACAGAATATTCTGTGAATCTTAATTCAAAGTAAACTCATGAAAAATGCCCATTAATACAACTTTTCAAATTAATCACAAGCTATGAACAACGTTAAATAAGTAACAAATTCTCCATTTAAAAAGCTGAATCCTTGCATCACAGTGGGAAGGGAACCCGAGCACAATTCAGAGTTTTGCTACGTCCCTGACACAGGAATTCCCTCCCAGTCCTGCTCAGCCCATGCCTGGCACAAGTGGAGCTGACACCTTGCAAACACCAGGCACAGCTGACACTGAACTGCACTGTCTGTGCCAGACTGGATTCATTCAAACCTCACTGACCTCTCCCATTCTGGCACAACTGCATCAAAAATTAAAACACCTTTTAACAGACTCTTCATCTTCATCAATTTCATCTTTTTCAAACTTCATAAAAGAACACTTTTTTATTCAATGTTTTTTTTTTTTTACTCACTTATTTTACTCATATGCTTCTTGCAGGGAAATTCCCTCTTGAGATAAAGCTGCATTCTGCTCTGATCTTACAAGAACTTTTACAAATACCATTCTGCTCAGGTTTGCTCTCACCCCAGCTCTGACAGGTTTCAAACCACCAAGTTACCCCCCTCTCTTCAGACAGAACACGAAATCAATCCCTTCTCCACTGTTCCCTTTCATTACTGTTCAAATACCTCCTCCCCCAGCTTTCTCTAGTTAGCAGCACTAACTCCTACAGATGCTGACTGACTTTTTCACACCAGAAATCAAGTATAAAATTTCAATGTTGAAGGAACTTTTACATAAAATAATCAGCAAACCAACAAATACTACTAAATGCTTTGAGTGGGAACACACAACTAATGAGAAAAGCTAATGCATGTTTTCTTCCTTGTTTTCCTCAAGTGTAAAGTTTGTCAACTTGCTCAAATCAAACATATGACACTTTATGTAAACAGTTCAAAAACCTGAAGAAGAATTTAAGAGTTTAATTAATAGTAAATGTAACTGCATTCTTCCTGTGAAGCCAGGCTCCTTCACTTCCAAAAGCTGTGTGCCTCACAGAGTTGCTATTTGCTTTTGAGGCATTTTTCCTTAGTGGTAGTGAATAAAATAAAAATTCCTCTAGATCCCAGGTACTCCAATCACAAAGAAACTGTACACAAATGTATGTTTTATGAGCATTACCTCATTATATCTGTTGCTAGGTATTTTGATGCTGGTTTTTCTGACTTCCATATCAACCACTAAACCTTGGACCACAGGCAGTGTGTACTGGTAGTTTCTGAAGTCCTGAGAATTAAAACAAGATTTCAAGTCAGGCATGATGATCATCATTAACACTGCAGGTTTCATAACTATCCTGGTGACTACTACTTAGCCCATTCAAATAACTGTAATCAGTGACTGGAAGGCAGGAAGGGACAGACACACCACAGCATGTAACCTGTGTAATTGCAGTACACAAATGAAAAAATATCTCCTGTATCAAAATTAATGTTCTCCAACCTTGAATATCATCACTGTATGTGAGAAAATTTGCTCTCTGTGTTCTGTTACTATATGGAGTTATTAGTTTTTCTAGCAGTGAGATTAAGTCATGCATCAAAGAGAATTTCCTATATTGAAAATATTTGCCAAGTAGGAAGAGATAATAACATCCCTTCAGTCAGAGCACGATGTAATCAGAGACCTGTGACTGCACACTGTGATGACCCAGCACTTCTGAGGAAGCAGTCTGAGCAAACAATGCACTTATTTCAAAATCCAAACATCCTCCAGCAGCCAGGTTTGGGATATTGATTTGGGTACCTTGTTACAATTCACTGTGTTGCTGAAGGCTAACATCCACTCTCAGTAACAGCAGGGAAATTCACCCAAATCCCCACTACTTCCTCTTGCATCTCCTGGACCTTCCAGCTGCTACCTGGAGCCCCCATCTCCCCACAGAGATCCACCCACACCAATGGAATGCACAGATTCCATCTCAGACTTACTGCAAGGAGGTTCATGATCGTGTGTCCAGTCTCTCCAAACAAAGGCTTACGGAATCTGACACTAAAGAGTGGGCATGGATAAACTGGAATAAAACAGAAAAGAACAGGTCAGATGGAAATTTACATACTCAGATTGTGCAAAACCAGACCCAAATATGATGTCCTCACTTGAATGTGGTAAGCAGCAGCTAAAGAAGAGACTGGGAAAACTGGAATTTAAAAAGCAAAAGGGCAGAAGGGTTCAACATTATAATGACCTCACATGTGTCATGGCTGCTTGCCCACTGTTCTAGAAACAAGAATAATTATGTGGAAAGCTCACAGATGCCACACTGCAGAATGAACTGAGTGACCTAGGCGCTGATGGCAAAGATGACCTTTCTAAGTCCTTCTTGGAAATGGCTTCTATTTTTGCACAACCGTCCTGCTGCTCTCCACTACAGCATCATCAGTCTTTCAGTTCTGTGGCTGACACGTGACACTCAAGTGATAACCTAGATTATTTTATTTCCTGTTTTCATTATTTCATCAGGCAAACTCCACAGGGGTACATCAAAAACAATTTAAAGGACATTTATGGTATGTCAGTGATGCAAAATATCTGCATTCCTTGGCTGACATCCATAGCTGTCAAACATCTGTGATGCAATTCTGGATCTGGCTGCATTACGTTATGTTGCAGCAGAAGCCACCACAATGCCTGGAACATGACTCATGCTCTGGTACATAATGCCAAGGTTTCCTAAACACATGTTTGAAGGAGGATTCCTGAGCTATCCTCAGGCAAACACTCAGCCTGATTTCCCCAAATGCCACACTCCCAGTTCCCAGTGTGGCCAGAAGGGACTGCAGAGCGCTCAGCATCATGTGAATAACATGAGGATTTCCTGATGGGAATCAGCTCCAGCCTCTGCACACTGATTTGATACCTGGAAGCACCACACACCACATGCAACCAACCCCTGCACAGTGCCCTGAGGCACCAGCAAGGGCTGAATTTCCTGTGTCTAACACTGGTTTCAAGCTCCATCCCAGATGCACTGAACTCCCTGAGCCTGGGCTGTTGGGCTGATCTGTGGATGCTCTGCAGATGTTTTCTGCACACCCAGCAACCCCAGGGCCTCCTGCATCTGATCTGCACTGCCAGCAGCAAAAGTGGCTGGAATCTGACAGCTCCAGCAGCAAGGAGGATGGAAGGAAACCCAGGAAACCTTCCAGGGAGAAACTGAGGCAGTGCCCTGCAGCCACAACTGGCACAGCTCAAGGGAATACCTCTAAATCCAAACCACAGCTGTAGGAATGATGCAAAGCCTGGCTTCCCAGGTACTTTTCCTTGTCACTATCAAAACACTTCTTTCTGTGCTCAGAAACAGATGTCACATCCAAAACATGAGCTTTTGTTTTTTGTTTTTTTAAATACTGATGGGAATAAATGCACTATTTCAAAAATGCCTGCAGGTACACACAAAAACCTACACACCTTTAACATGAATGTTCCTTTGGACAAGTTTAACCTTCAGTTCTCATCCTCAGAAGGCAAATTTTGAGGATTTTATTTTTCTCCTCCAGCAACACACATATTTTGTGGAAAATTCCCAATGTTCTCAAAACTTTTGAAGTTAAAGTGACAAATCTCTGCACAGTATATTATAAAACGTATTTTCTTAAACTGTTCTGAAAGAGTACTGGGAAAAATTAGCAACAGACCATTTTCATAGTAATTCAGATTAATGAGACATGCCAATTAAAACTGAAGATGAGTAAGACATACAATTTTTGGCCCATCATGGTGGACAGACTGCCAGTAATGTCTTTGCTCCAGCAATGGTAAATGCCTTTTGAAAATTATTTTAACTTAACTTTATGCCAATTTCATGCTAACTGCTAAGATTTTGTTCAGATGAAACATTCTCTCCAGCTTATTTATTATTAGTTCCAACAGTATTTTTGCAACAAATTGCCAAGTTTGTTGCCCCTGCGCACATATTGTTACTCTCTGGCAAATGAACACAGTTTTAGAAACCCAAAAGGAAATGGTCTTTCATTGCAGCATGGAAAGAGCTTAACACAAGGAAGAGCTTTGAGATGTTATCTACACCAGCTAATCAGACTTGTTCTGCACATAACTCTCAGGTCACTACATGGATACAAACATGCTCAGAACTAGATTTGTCTCCACAAAAGCCTCCCTGATGACCCAGCAGAGTTGTAAAAAGGCCGTAGGTCCCACCACCACCTGAGTGCTACACTGTGGGTCTGACACACAGCTCTCCCTTGCCTGCTGGAGCCTGGTGGCTCTGACAGGTAACACTCCATGGCTGGGGATGCCCTGGAGCAGAATTCACCCACTGCCCTGCAGAAGGATGAATACTCACGCCTGTATTCAGCTCCGAGCCTCAGCATCAGGCGGATGGGGAACACTTTGGCCCAGGGGGTCTCCCACTTCTGGATGAGGATGCCAAACAGGTAGGGTGGGGTTGGGAGCACCAGGTCCTGCAGGGACTGATAGGTGGCTGCAACGTACAAGAACCCTCCGTGTTCTTTGCTTCCTAGGAAGCTCTGGCTGAAAAAGGAGTGTCCCAGGTTGCCAACAATGTTACCTATGGGAAAAAAAAGAGTTCATTGCTTCACTGGATTGAGAGCTGTATCAAGAATGTCAGGAGTTTCTCAGAAGGGAAAAAAATCCATGTTAAATTCATTTTTCTTCCTGGAGCATTAATGTGTATTAACCACACCTGAAACAATGGGTCAACCACAGCTGCTCTGGGCAACCTGTGCCAGGCTGACACTGCCCTTTCAGGATACCACACGAGAGTTCAGACCAGTACTGCTGCTAAGGTGGTACCTGAAACCCCCCCCTGGCACTACAGACACATCCCCACAAAGCCTTTTTTCAGGGCATTACAGATATTAAAGGGAGCTCCTCTGCAGAAGCTGTTGTTGTTTGAACTAAACTTTTGGAATCAGCTGCAGTTTAAGGAGGGATGTGCACCTGGTCAAAACATTAGTGCCTCCTGGTTGTCCTTCCATTTAGGCAAAGCGCTGGGGTGCTTGCTCAGACACATATTGAGGATCTGGGTCATTTCAAGAATTACACAAAAGACTGTTTATTTCATTAGTACACTTAATGTAAAACGCAACTGAGAGAGACACAGGGGAGAAACATCACTAATTTTTATTCACATTTTTACTCTTTGATGCTTCTGATTTCCAAAATTGTTTATACTCAAATGGCTGAATGAATCTGAGTGTTGATTAGGTTATTATAGCATCCAACACAGCATTTAACACTGAAGCAAAGAACCATGGTGAGATTCCTTTTACCAAATGACAACAACAGCATGCAAATAATGTACAGAACAGCTGATCACAATTCTCCATAGGAAGATGTGAATATTAACAGTGCTGATTTGCTCTCAAACAAAAAGACAATTTCAGAGAGCGTGGTGTGCTTGATCACACCACTCATGAGGAATTGCATGGGACTGAGGTACTCATGCAGACCTCCTGGGCTTCTGGAGCAATCCCAGACTTTCCCACCTGCAGACAGAGACTGCTAAGTAGGAGTTTCTGCTCCTTCAGCACCTCATAACAGTATTTGTAGCTGAACTCAAGGCAGTGATGTGCACCTCTCCATCTGCACATCCACTGGACACTACCTGGGGAGTTTCCTCCTTTTACACACACTCAGACAAATGCCAGGTTTTAAGTAAGTAAAACTATGAGTCACAGAAGTGATACTTTGACATCCTCAGTCATACAAGTTATAACCACACAGCTATTCCAGCCCTCCCTCTGGAGATGTGGCCATGCTGCTTTGCATCTCTCCAGACCACCTTGGCACAATCATCACTCAATATTGTCCTTCACATTCCCTTGAGTCCTCCAGCTTTACATATAGTGACTGGCAGGTCTGTAAGCAAAAGGCTCCTTTTATACTCCAACTAACAAATAAGCTCAAGGGGTTCCTTATTTTTCAATTTCTGGGCCCCTTTGTGGATTTTTTTTCTGTACTCACAAACGCTGCACAAAGTAAGTTATTAGGTTCCCTGTTAGAAGGTGACAGCTTTGGCAGCCCAGCATCCCATAGCAGGGTGAGGCTCATTCAGAGTTTGCCGCTGTCCTGCAAAGCCAACCTGTAATTTTACAGATACACACAGGCCAAAGCTGACATGATCACCCAGATCAAACTCCAGAACTCTTAGAGTGGCTATAACGTCTCAGCTGAGCATACTTGATGAAAAGCAGCTACTGGTCAAACCACCATGAATAATAGAGCCAAATCAAATGTCAGCTGCTGAGAATCCCTGCTCCTGCCCATGTGCAAATGCAGCTCTGTCAGCTGTGCTGGGACACTGCTCAGTGAAACACCAATGCACCAATGTGGGCATCCTGCTAGTGAGTGCAACCAGTGTATCCACTGGTGTTCATGAGAAAGATTTTCACTTATCTAAAATAGCTGCTGGCACTCATTTGCTTTTGCAGTTTCCACCTACCCTCACTAATCGCCTCTTCTTCATTTATACTTCCTTTTCCCCTTCCCATCTGTTCTTACCCAAATACAGCTACAGGCCTGATAATAAAGTTACTTGGTGAGGTTCTCAGCTCCAACAACATGATCACAATAATCCTTTTTACCCTTCAAGTGTATGACGTGTACGAAGTGCCAAACTGCACCGAGTTCTGCCCCCTTCTCTGTGGATTTTCTGTGTGTGAGAGGCCAGGCAAAGTGCAGCTGTACAATCCCGTATGCATCTGAGACGTGTGGCACTGCCCACTGGAATGACAAAGCAACCAGACATTTCCACTTGAGACTGGTGCCAAGTGCTGCAGCAGAAAGGGATGACTACTTATTTTCTCTGTTTCAGGAGATGGAGCCTCAAAGGCTCACATGCCTGGGATGCCTCAATAATAATTTTTCAGCCAACGGAAACATGGAAAAAGCCCTCAGAGTTGAATCTGCAACTCAGCTGTTCAGCCCTTTCCTTCCATAAGCCACAGCACCATAAATTACTCCTCCTGACACAAGCAGCTTGCACAGTGCAAGATCCAAGAGGCTGCCACCGCTTTAAGAGGACAAATTACTGGGATTAGGTAGCTGGGCTGCAATTCATTATTTATAACAGCTTAAGAGTCTAGATGTGGACAGCATGGGAAGAAGCAAGTGTTTTCCTACACACTTCTTTAGTGCCCTTTTCAGTCAGCACAACCAAGTCAAAAAGCCTCTCTGGGCTTGTCCCTCGAACATTTCTGCCCTGACCAGGGGCTGTCAGTCTGTCCTGCCCGGTCTCTGAAGGTCATTCCAAGCCAAGGCCCCTGTGAGAAGTTGCTATTCCCAGCCTGACATTGTCAAACCAAACCCACTGCACCATTACACATTTTAAGCACAGAACTGTTTCAGAGGCTTGTAGAGAAAGTGTAGGCGTCAGAAAAACCTTCAAAAATAACTATCCTTTGCAAAAGCATGTAATTTAATTTAAAACATATCACAACTTCCTTTCTAATGAGGCAATCTCAGAGTGAGCAGAAAGGTGCCTTTCCATATATTAAGTTCCAGCACCTGACATTATTTAGGAAGTGCTTTAAGTGTGCATGATGCATCTAAAGTAGTTCTGCAGGAGGTCAGTACTTATCCTCTTCTCAATTATACTGGGTTATCCTTGACTTTAAATCTCAAGCATCCCTACAAAGTTGTCCAGAAAAAAAAAAGATGCTTTTATCCATAGTGTTTTGAATTCTTCACTTAGATATCTTTCCATGATGAACAATGTGCTTTGTGAAGCAGTTTGGCAATCCCTTCTGGCCTCAAAACAGTCTACACCAGGAAAGGTAAATGAGGGAAGAAAAAGATTCCTGCACTTGTTTATTGCCCTCAATAAGTAGTGAAGCCAGTTAGGTACTTTTACCAAAAAACAGTGAGGTTAAATTCTTAATGTATGCTTCCCATCTTTTGGTTAATTGCAGGTCAAAAAAAGGTAATGGCATCCAAACTCAGGCAAGGCATTTATTTGTGGCTTGGGGAATTCCAGCCAGAACAGTCAGGAACTGCCATGTACCAAACTCTGCTGGCATCCTGAAAACCCCAGCACCCCAGTCCTGCAGCAGGAGATGCAAAGCAATATTCACCTGTGAACAATCTTGCCAGATGGATTTTCTTCGAGAGCAAACGAGCACATTTCCTTTGGAAAAGGAACACAAAGCCCATCACTCCAAGAGCCACAAAGAGCCACAGAAGAGCCAAGGCCAGGAATGTACCTTGATGCCCCAACACATCTGTAGCAGGTGCCAACACTGAGAAAAAACCTCCATATCAGCTCCACATTCAAAGTTCTGGCCATGGTCAGCATCTCTTTATTGAAACACATCAGAAAGCAATTTGGAAAGAACTTCCTCCTATTGCCAAGGGCATAATGCTTCACTTACTACCAGGGAGAGCAGCAGCTGCCAGCATCCAAAACTTTCTCAGGCTACTCTGTGGCAGCCTTCCTAACATCACTCACTCACCTCACATAAAGTTTGATTTTGTCTCCACTTTCCACAGACCAATTGTAGATCTGTAAAGAAGCCCATGTAGATGTTCTCTATTCAGAACATCTACATGGGCTTCTTTACAGATCTACAACTAACTACCACCATACTTAATTAAAACCACACCGGGTAAAAAATGCACAAACTGTGTTTGGGATAGACCCACCCTCACAAGGAATATCCCCAAAAACCAGGGTCAAAGCCATTTCAGGCAGTTGTCAGATTTACATTTGCACTACAAAAGTAACAGTAGCTTTTATTGTTTTGCAGCACAGAGCTGATGCACTAGGGCATCTCTGGCAGCACTACATAAACACATCCAACTGCCTCAAAGTCCCCATTCACACGGACAGAAGTCCTCATTTTCCCATTCACTGCCAGGCTTATAGCCAACAGACAAGGATAATCATGGGATTACTACTACAGCAGTGCAACTATTACAACCACAACAGAAATCATTAGCTTCCAATTTCAAAATGAGAAAAGCAACACAGCAGGGAGCTTGATGACAGAGGGGCCAGAGGAAAAGTAAAGTGATGAAAAGTGAGCAGCAACAAATACTTGCCCTAACTGACTTCATTTTTTATAACTCACATGCATACAGTTTACAGTGAGAAATACCATTTTTTCCTTCAAAATCTCTCTGCTGCTATCCTACCAGAGGCAGCCTGCAAACAACACCCAGCACAGAGGGCAGGACTCTGCCTCCAGAACAAGTTATCCCTTCAGGAAAGAGGAAACATCTGGGAAGAGGCACGAGTACATACAAGGACTTTGTGCTTCTAGGCTTGAGCACAGAATTCAAGCTCCTAAATTCATGTGACTCATGAAGAAATCATTTGCTATGGACTGGGCTTTAATCCAACAAATAAAAAGGGATGCTGTGTTTTCCTGCTGAAAACAGGACCAAGAAATCTAAAATCACTTCAAAGCAATATCAACAACATAAAAAGTAATTTTTGCTTCCATTCCAATAAAAAGTACTTTTTTACAGTACATTTATTACAGTATATTTATTTTATTACTGTTTTTAAGAAAACTTATACTAAAGGAAATAAATAAAAAACATCCACAGAATTTACTTCAGTTTCCTCATACAGAATATATTTAAGCCAATGTATTATATAATGAAAAATGAAATGGTGAGGCAGGCTGTTAAAAAGTCTCTAAATTCTACTGGGAATTCTTGTTTGCTCTAAATGTCTAAATCATCTCATTGCCAGGAGAGGTGCAGTACCTCTGAAATGAACAGCTTGGAAAGCACGGCTCCACCTACAAGAGCAGAACTGCTAACCACTTCCAAGGGATTACAGACACCAAACTGAAACCCCTACAGCATCACCTCCTCTCTGCCTGAATAATGTTTAAAGCAGTCAAGTTACAAATATGCTAACAGATCCTTCTGCCTCTCAACGCGTGCCTTGGAGAGAAAAAAAGGATGGATGTTGAAAAAGCATTCCCAAGTGCTTTGGGAATTCATCAAGGTGCACTATCTACAAAAGCTGCAGGCATTATGCAGTAGCTGAAGGTGTCTGTCTACTCATCCTTCATGTCTGAAACACAACACACAGCAGATCCTACCAAAAGAAAACACACAGTGGAATTCTTCAACAGCAACATTGGGTTTCTGATTAACAACTGTACAATAGTAAGCAGCTCTTTGCACCAGTGGAATTGTAGGATATCAAATTACTACACTACAGTACTAAAAAAGAATTCCAAATACATTATGTAGGAGTTATAAATTATGTATTTCTGTAGTGTAATTATACAGAACTTCATAGCAATATACACACCAAGCTGGATTTATATCTGCAATATGCATATATACACATTTATATACACATGCTTGCCATTTTTCACATCTATCTCCATCTAAATAACATAATTATAAGACAAAGAAAATGAACTGAGGTTTAGAACAGTAGTTGTTTGCCATGCACACAAGATCCATTATGACATGAGATAATAATACATTCTGAACCTGGCAACCTCTCTGGACAAGCTGACCTTTATTGTACAAAGATATTTTAGGAAAGAAATATCTTTCATTATTTTATTAAAGTACTGGATTCAATCACTCCAAAGGCATCACAAATGATAAGCAGAACCTCCTGTAATTGTATTTTCAGCACATAACCTTAATGTGATCCAATTTCACCTGTGGAAAACAAGCTTTATCTTCTGATTAGTGGAACCAAATACTTGCATATTTCCTTATGCAAGGATTTTTGAATTCCAAGGTCCAACAATAATACCTAGAAGTGAAAGCCTATTTATTTGGTAAATGCAAAATGTGCAATGGTTTATATAAAAATCTTGCAATCAAGATACAAAAATTCAAAATTCAGGGATAATTTCTGAAATGCTCCATATAGTTAATTCTGGGCACACATATGCATATATTATTTTAAAATATAAACAGGATCTCCATAATGTAGTAATAGACACAGGCAGTATGAGAATCAAACTTCTGAACTACCTGGTCAGGAGATACTGAACATACTATCCACAAGAATTCTCAACATTTTCTTTCTGGTGGAAGATCTTTGGAGCAGCTCCCTAGGTTAGCAGCATTTTATCTGGTGAGATGACTAGGACATTGAATACTAACAACCAACAACTCATCCCCTATCAGCTTTGATCCTTACTCTCTCTTTATATTTTTGGTTTCTTCAAAAAGAGCCATTTGTTGTGACAAAATGTATCTAACCCTGTATGATTTTTGACATTTTTAACAGAGAGCATTCCTACCTGCTAAGGCATCCCGGTAAAGTTGCACAAAATGGTTGAAGATATCCTTAGGCAAACATTTCTCATCAGGCAAACACTGCAGGAGAATGACGATCTCCGACTGCCCCACGGCGTGCATGCCTTTGGTGGTGAAACACCAGCACTTCCTGTTCACATCTGCACAGATGGAAACATGGATCAGCAGAGCAGAACTGCAAAAAGGATCCCTACATTTCACTGCAGTGACAAAACCTGCAAGGAGCAGTTTTACAGCACGTATTGTTGTGCTATCTGTCACACAGACAAATTACATCCTACATCTGTTACCATGAGGGCAGCACATCCAAAACAAGAGCAGCTCAGTAATTCCCAGTTTACAGCTAAGGAAGAGCCAGAGTATTACAGCTCCCAGTCAGATCTTGGGATTAACACCACAGAGCAGACTTTTAGCAGTTTCTGTATTCAAATGAAAGGACAGGATTTCAATGTGACTGAAGGAGCCTGGTAACAGGCCAGGCTGTTGGCTGTGTGCACCATGATCCTGACAGCTAAAACAGTTTCCAGCAGTGATATCTTCCTTAATATGGAGAGCTGGATGTCAGGTGTCTCCATGAGACCTCACTGTGTTGTTCTGCTTCACAGGGATGTTAGTAATGGTATGTGCTCTGAGCTTCATTTCTTGAGAATACTAAGTTGTTGAAATAAAACCTATGACTACAATATATTACCTTTTCATACATATGGAAAACATTGTACTGCAATCCAAGAGATGCTGAAAGGTTTATAAACAATTTATTAATACAAAACTGTCCTTCCCAATTTCTCCATGGTGCTTCTATCCAGCAGAGATCAGCTGAGGAACTGGCATGAGAAGCCATCCTGTGCCTCTCCACTCCTCCCTCAGCACAGGCACACACAGGCACAGGACAGAAAGGGACACAAGAGGTGCACAGGGGAATGGAATGGAACCTCTGCACTGTCATGGGATCCCATCTGCTTTTTCCAGGAATGGAATGACAGGGAAATAAGTGAAGCAACCAAAGGAAAATAGGTGATAAAATACTCTGCTCTACTAAGCTCTACAGGGGACATTGATCTCCAAACCTCAGACTGGAGGCTCCATCAGCCCTGTTTCTATTATCTACATAAAATTATCTGTACTGATACCTAAATCACGAGAAAAGGGCCTCTTGACACTTAACTTAATATGGCTCAATACAAAGTTTTCAACCTGTATACTTTTTCTGAGATTATCCTACCAAATAAAAATGCTGCTGTTCCTACTAATAATCTAGATAACATTCCCCCTCTCATAGACTAAGACTTATTTAATAATAAACACTTACAATTCACTATTTTTACCATGGACAGCAAATTAGCATTTAAAACAAATACTAGAGGGTCAGGGCCACCATCCTCCAGCTGCTGCATGACAGAGATCTGAGAAGGTCTCTCTTCCACAGCATAGTCTACAAAAGAAACAAACACAATGAAATCCATAAATTACTGGTACAGACTGTACATTACAATCAGATAACCCCAATTCCAATTTTTTTTACTGTTTTGACCTTTGAGACAAAACTTATTTAAGTATTGCTGGTTTAAGTGATTGTTTCCTAGACTGGTATTTTCAAACTTCAACAATTTCTGAGATAGCCTCTATACATCATTTAGAAAGGTGCAGCTTGTTTCAGAAAAATAACTATTTTTCAGTATCAACTAGAGGAGAAAATTGAAATCAAATTGAAAAATGTGTCACAATGTCAGCTGAAATCCCAAATGACTAAGAAGTTAAGAATTGTTATTTAAATCACAGCAAGGCTGAAGGGCATCAGTCCCAAACGACCATAAACAGCAAACACAGGATGGAACAGATCTGAAATTAAATGCTGCTCACATTTTGGTTTTGACACTATTCTGAAATAAAAGGTTACTTCCAACTTAACATTAGAAATGCACTCTGTCAGCAAAATATCTAATAGGAATAAAACAACCAAAGAGAAAATAAGTTCATTCCAGGGATGTATTAAAGGATGACATGAATCAGACTGTGGAAAGCAATTTCACATAAACAAATACACATTTTCTAATCTTTCCAAAATTAGTTTTTAATTTTCTGAAGGCTCCTCATTTTGGATCCTTTATAAAGGGATATCACAATGACTAAAAGCTGCACTGTGGGCCATGATGTGCAATAGTGCTGTTGAATGCAGTGCTTGGGGATGCCTCAGACAGAGCCCATGTTCTAACAGAATTTCAGAGAAGGGAAGCATGAATATTCAAAAGACTAATTAAAACCTATCTCTGTTTGAAACATTCCCCACAGTCCGATTAGCAAAGAAATTAGCACATGTTTCTGGACTGCAGTTAATTTTTTGCTTCATGTTTTACTTGTTACAGGAATTTTACTGCAAGGTGGGACTTTTCCTGGATGCAAATAGGGACCAATTGTGCAAAGGAGTGGCCCAACATTTACCCATGAGTGCTTACTGAGAATTCTTTCCAATACTCAGCACACTGCCAGCATCTTATTTTTAAAATAAACACGCTAGCCACTAGGTTATTGCATCTGGTAAGCATAAAAGCTGGCTGCCAAATTATGCTCTCACCTCCTTTTACTCCAGTGGAGATGAGAATTGGAGGAAGACCATCTTCAGGAATCAGATTCATTGCACTGCCAACAGGACTGCCAACCTGAGTTATATTTCCCGAGAATACAGAGGCATTATCAGTCTACAAGAAGCAAACAACAAGGAAGGACAGCATTAAAACAGTAATAATAAAAATGTAAGAGCTGGCTGGCTAAATTATTATAGATGTAGGTGAAGGAGTCTGTGTCTGCTGGAGAAACAGAAGCACCAGGTAATTTGGCTGTGTAACAACAGATGATCATGTGATGTCTCCTGTATGTGAACTGTTGCTAGAAAATCTGCTCAGAGCCTGCATCTCCCTTCTCTAACATCATACATACCCATTTCTTCACAAAATCTTAATGCATCTATGCCCATTTGAACTTTTTGCAGAGTCTCAATTCCATTTACATGAGGTATGGTGGGCTTAACATTGTTAACTTTATCTGCACTTTCCTGCACACCTAATTTTGTGACAGAATATTCTTCTGATAATCTTATTGTTTAAAACTCCTTACTGACCACAACTCACCTTTTTTAAAACATGTATTACACAAACATCCTTCACACATCAGCTGTACAGCTAAATAGCTGGAAGACACACAGACAACAAACATTCCTAGAGCTTTGCCCCAAATCTCTTCATTTCATTTAGAAAGATATGGTTGTTTCAGCACTCTGCAAACATTCAAATAAGGACAACACTTGCTATGCAACATATTAAGAGAAGCCTGAGCAGATTTCCTGCATGAGTCTTACTGCAGTCACCACAGCAACTCACAGACCACTCACAACCAAGGCAAACACAGGATTTTGAATGCCAAATACTCCCTTACTTCTGCTGATGAAGTGTTGTTGGCCATGGGCTTTGGTGGATCATGAGACACTGCTAAGGTTCCCGTGGAAGTTGTCCCAGCCACTGTCAGCTTTGCTGCATCTGCAACTTCTCCATTGGGTAAAATCCCATCAGCAAACCAAACACGCCTTTGTTCTCTAGGCTGAGCCACTGGAGAGAACACAAAAAGCAGCATTTAACATCTCACAGCAACACTGCCTAGGAAAATCTGAGTATAAAACAGCAAAATGGAAAAAATAAATATAAAAATGTGGATTGGAAGGAACTTAAGACATCACCTAGTGCATTCCCTATGGCAGCATCATGTACAGACACAACCACTGAGAACAGGTTACATGTCCTGAAAAACCTCATGTCCCTGCTGAGGGCAGGAACAGCTCACTGGCATTAGCCATTATTTGGAATGGATGAAGTGGAGATATTCTTTCCAAATTCTTCCTGCAGGTAAACTGAAAGGAAAATGAAGTGTTCTTACCTTCTGCTCCAGGATGCTTCAGAACTCCCACAGGTACCATGACAGTGGGAGGCGGGGAGCTCAGGGCGCCCGAGGCCTGAGCCTGCTGCAAAGGAGGGATAGTAGAACAGTATTCAGCAGGATTGTTAGGGTTAGGGCTCTGGCTTGAGGCACTCATCATGTTCTCCCAGGCTTGAGCTAAAGCAAACAAAGAACAAGAGCCATCAACACAGAGGAAGGTATCTAACAGTCCAAAACACTGTGTTAAGTTCTCAGCTGCTGTCAGTATGGACCCTGCCACCTCCCAAAAAACATTCCCTCCATGTAACAGCCCAGGAGACTGCAATTAAGCAAGAAAAAATACAAGGAGAAACTGCACTGGCCCTGTGCAATAAAAATATTAGTCCAAAAAGAAGTATTTTCTGAAAAGGGTTAAAATACACTTTGACTTGAGTGATGCTTAGCTCCTCATGCTTTTGTTTCTTCTTCAAAGATTTCGTTGAAAACAGTCAATGTGTATGTAAATATATATATATTTCACAATGTATGGAGAAATAGACGTTTTTACTACAAATCTTTCATAATCCACAAAATACTTGAGCAGATTTAACTTTCATTTATGATAAAAAGCACTCTGCATTTCTTTGTGTCCAGGGCAGTTGTGTACAGATCAACAACTTTTATTCTTTGACTTTGACTTGAGCAATGCTTAGCAAAGATTTAATTGAAAATAGTCAATGTGTAGATAAATATATATTTTTTTTTATATATATATATATATATTACAATGCATGGAGAAATAGATGTTTTTATAACCCACAAAACATTTGAGCAGATTTTCATTTATGATAAAAAGCACCCTGCATTTCTTTGTGTCCAAGGCAGTTGTGTACAGATAACAACTTTTATTCCTAACTCTAAAAAAACCCTTACGCTATTAATTTGGAAGGCATGACTTGAGCCTTAATTCAACTGGCCAAAAAATAACACATAAATCTTCTTTGTCAACAATATCCATCATAGGAAAATCTCCTCCAATGAGTAAACCAGACCATCTCCACAGTGCTACTTCTTTTTCACCTCTAAGGGAGGTTTGTAGCAAGATGTCAGAAAATTCATGTGTGTTTGCAGCCACAATCATATTAGTATGATACAAATAAATGCATTCTTTGAGTCAGGCACAAATATCATGGCACCTAAGCTCTCAGAGCATGTACATCCTTGGGTTCATTCAGCTGCAAATTGTTAGAAAACCAAGGTGGAAATAACAAGATAAAAAAAAAAAAAACCAAACAGAACTCAACAGAACATAAACCCTCCTGCTTCCCCCCATCAACCTGCAAAACCAAGAGTGAAATGCTTGTCAATGAAAAATGTATTGGCATTCCAGTCAAGAAAATTACTTGAACCAAAGCACTTTTTAAACAGCAATTCTATACCTATTCTACCTAATTCTATTCAGTAAAAGTCCTGAAAGAAGAAAGTATTAAAAATGCACAAAGTTACATGTCCAGGGCTCCTTTATAAGAAAAGTAAAAGAGTATTCTTAAAGATTTCTTTAAATGGAGCAAAGCGCCAAGTCAGTGCATCTACCAACTAAAAATACACTAAAACTAGCACTGGCAACTGATGAAACACATAGCCTGGCTATGGAAATGTGCCAGAAAACACACAACCCTCCCCTCACACCCCAGTCAAACACAAACCAGGTTCTGAGTAATCAAGTGACATAACAACTGCTTTTACAGTTCCTACCCCTGCTTCCAGGAGTGTGCAAAGATTAATGCTTAACCTGCTGCACTGACAGGGACAAAAGGCCCAAAAGCTGCACTGACAAAGAAACTGGAAGGACCAGGAGGGGTGAGATGCAATCAGGCTACAGGTGAAGTAACCCAAAGCATCACCATGAAGCACTGCAGCAGGGACAGGAACAGAGGCAGACAGGGCAAGCACAGCACTGGCCTGAAGGAACCAGGCACTGGTGTCACTGCTGCATTAATGTGCATCTGCCCTGGCAACAGGACAGAGAGGCTTTCAAATGAAATCATCATAATATGATCAGTTTTATTATGTCTTTTTGAAACAACACTTTGGTTTCAACAAAATATTTACAGATTCTTCCCTTCCGCCAGATGAAAATTAATCCTGCTCACCAGGACAGAGCCAGCTGTCTTTTGCTAAGTGTATTTGTAATTGTTGTTCTTGTACACCTTGAAATGTGTTCATTTCCCCATCTCAAAATGTAACAGTATAGAATCTCTTCAGCATCATTACTGGGGCTAGTTTTTAATTTCTATATACTATAACCTACAATTTCCTGTCACCTTACACATTTGGCCTAGAGTAAAGAATTATTAATAATTAAAACCTACCACTGCACAGTGATTAATGTTTCATATTTTTGAAGCATTTCATATTTTTGAATTTTTTTCTGAGAAAATTATATTCTTGTTTAATAACAGATACTGCCTACTTTTATATTCTTATCTCAAGACTAAACACTCAGTTACTTTCAACCAAACCTGAACCAATACTCAACTTCTATGGAGAAAAAGTAAAGCTATGACCTTAAGTTTAGTTTAAATGTTCAAACAACAAAGTAAGAGATCTTTCTGAAAACAGCCCAAATAATCCACTATGCAGTAATGTGTAAAGATAATGCCAAAATTACTTTCTGTGATGCTGACACAAACCACAATTTTCCTAACTAATTCTTGATTAGAATCTCTGTTGAAAGTCTCCAAAGTTTAGCTAAACAATTGCAGCAATGGATATTCCATGATAAACCATCCTGATAATTACTGAACAGTAATTCTAACAGTTAAAAGTTGGCATTTAGAGCCTGAATTTCTCTGACTTCTCATTGTACCTTTCAGAATGTTAGAATGCTCTGTCAGAGCATCCTCTACCACTGAATTCACTTCTGGCATCAAGTTTCAGTGATCCAGATATATATTTATACCCCAGGACCAAGACACCCATTCACTTTCTCACTAATAAGCCAAAATGCCTGGAATTTCTCACTGAGACAGGTTATCTCATGAATTAAGCACCCACATGGGTCCTCTCTCAACCTAATCCAATTTCTCTGCTTTCTCAATTCAAAACAGAGGAACTGCACATTGAGTCTTCCAGAAGCAGCTGTCTCAGTGTCATGGGCATAACTCAGCTGGACAGATCATCACTCAGAGGTACCTGCCAGTGAGGGAAGTTCTGGAGATTTCCACAGGCCTCAAGGGAGTGCTCTGTGTTTCCCTGTATTTATAGCACAGCTCCAAAGTGTTAGCACAATAAAGAACACCACACAAAATACACCCCACAGCCTGCTGGCCAAAACCAGAGTTTTTCTTTACACCAAGCAGAGGTGATAGAACTTCCTACCAGTTCTACATGTGAACTTCAGAAGTACTTGTGACCTCTCTACTGTGTCCCATGTTCTCACCAGGCTGCTAGCCACAGCACCCCTCTGGGTTTGACACTCTCCAGGAATGTGTGAATGTAACCATCTAAGCTCAGCTGTCCACATTTGGGGACCTGTATTTAGACAAGACCTCCTACTCTAAGAAGAGGAGCTGAATTAATTTGTGGATAAATACTACTTTCCCAATCTCCTATAGTGCACGATCTAGAACAGGCACATCATGCACATCTTTGGCATTCCATCTAAATGTGTAGTGGGTTATCTACTCAGGCAACAAAGGATACAGAGTACACTTCTGAATCAACCTCAAAGTCACAGTTTTTGCAATCCTGGTAGAGCACTCCCAAATGAAAGCTTCCAAACTCCCTGCAACCTTACCAGTTTTTCTACTCTTCACTGGGATTCCATGCCAGCATCATCTCAAGCACCTTTACTGTTTTAGAATACTTACCCATACAAATGAAGTATTTTGATATTTTTTCTTTTCAAATGCCCTCACTGCAGCTCCACACAAAGCCAGTGAGGTGCCACATCTCAGTTCCCTGCCCACTCACCATTCATCAGCACTGAGTGGCAGATCACACACACTCTGGCTTCCTTTCGGTCCATGTAGAGCAGCTTGCACTTCAGGCTACAGCACGTGGCACAAAACACCTGGAACACAGGGAAACTGCTCAGGGCTGTGCACAAATATGGGCAAACTGATGGACCTGCACAACTGAGTGTCTGCAAAGCTCTTGAAATGCAAAATACAGAGGTAAAAATCAGTATTTTCCCATTAAAGACACAGTGACCAGTACCTACCCAGGGTGGCTGTACTACTAATCCTGATGATTATTTAGTGGAACACATAAATGCATTTTGTCCTGATACTGCACTGTAGTGTTATTAAAATTTGTTTGGCATAAATGACAATGGGGGTAAAAAATACCTACCTCATTACAATCCCTCAAAGAATTAACAATTTGGGAATTAACTTCAGTCTTAGAAAAAGCATGAGTACTTCCTAGAATTAAATAGCAATTCAATGCACAAGTATTCATATATATAAAAGAAACTGCTATGGCACAGATTAATTCAAACTTAATTAATTCTTTGCAGCAGCACAATTCATCTACATGGAATCAGACATTAGAAGGAATTTTTGGACATCAGGAGGAATTTCTTCACAGAGAGGGTGATTCAACATTGGAGTGGGCTGCCCAGAGAGATGCTCTCGAGGTCCCTGGTGGTGTCTAAGGAAAGACTGGATGTGGCACTCAGTGCCATGCTCTGGTTGACAAAGTAGAGATCAGTTATCAGTCAAGACTGGACTTGATTATCTCAAGAGTTTTTTTTCAACCTAAATAATTCTGTGATTCTGATAGTAACTCCAGCTGTTTAATCTCTTTATATCTAGGAAGCTATTCCTCGGTTGAGGAGGGACAGTGATTATCAAAATGTTTTAAGTGTTAAACACATAAACCAAGACATTTCAGAAAGCTGAATGACATTAGTACTGAGAGAAAATCTTGCTCCATTTTTATAAAAAAGCTCGTTTTGACATGAATGCAAACATCACAGTATCACAACAGGAGGGAGAGCTCAGGAACTGCATTGTGCGCACCCTGCTGAAGGGGCTGGGGCAAAGCCCAGGGAGCACAAAGTGCTGTGGAGATGCAGCTGCAGGGCTGGTCCTTCTCCCCTGAAGCAGCTCTAAAAAGTCCCCAGTCCTGGGCAGGAAACATTCCTGAGGCTTCCTCCAGACAAGCAAAACCATCAAACCTGAGCATGGCTTGTGCACCACAACACACTTGCATGCAGACATGATCCTACAGCAGCAACTGCCTTCTCAAAATCCTGCAGAACACATGCCCTTAATGATTTCTTATTCATTTTAAATAATTATACTGTCTTTATTTTTAAAAACCCAGTAGTTCCTCAGGGTTATTTTTCCAGTGATATGAAGATACTGATGAAGATCCACTTCCAGCAGAAAGGTAATGTCACACTCAGGAGATCTGGAAACAGCAGCAGCTGCCTAACAAATGAGTTCAGATATCAAAAGAGAATTTCAAAATTTAATTATGGGTGGATATTATCTCTGCAATACACTATGCATTATTATGATCTATAATGCTTTCCAAATTTAAAAAAATATTCCATCACTCTAACAGCATTATTTCTATAATATAGACAAGAAGCTACACAGGATTGTTATATATAAACGTGTTTAAGCCTAATTAAATTTCAACCAAGTTAAAGATCAACCAAATTACAACTACTTTTAGTGGCAAGTGTTCAAAATGAGCAAATACAGGTTTTGAACTAAACATGAGAGTCGAAAAACAAATGTGCAGAAGCTCAGCTCTGTCTCATTAGAACCAGTTTTAATGTTTTCTAACTATGACAACTCAAACATTTCAAAAACAAAATATAATTAAGCATAGACTGGAATTTTAATGCAAAAATAAAATCCACCCTTTCACATATGTGAAAACCTTTAAAAAAACAAAGTAAATATAGTTGAAAAATTTGATTTCTATACATACATCTTAACCCAATTTACATGTATTCTAGGGAATATTTAAAACAACATCACAGCATATTTTAGAGACATTTGACATCATTTCAGTTCTCTGGGCACAACTTCCAGTCAAAAGTTCATTCAGTATTGAACATGGAAAAATCAATGTTGTCAACCATAAATGAAGGCCCAACACAAATTAATATCTAATTTAGGAGCCTTTTTCAAACAACACATTCATGAAAGCTCCCAAATGCAATGATTTAAATATTAAAAGAGAAAACAGAAGCAATGACCGAACATCCCCACCTCCTCTCTCAGGCTGCATCAGCCTTGAGCAGCAGTAATGCAGGGAACGCAATCCAGCACAACTGACAAGTCAGACTTGTTATTAACAATCACCAAGTCATTATCTCAGCACATCATGCTATAAAAAAAACAACAGAGCAGTGTCAAAGCAAGTTTTTATGTTATTAGGGTTTTCAGGTTCACTAGGAGTTGTTAAAGAATTAGTTACTAGTGGAATTGCTGATTTTTTTAGTATTTTTGTAGAAAAATATCATTTTGATTGTCAATAAAAAAGATTGCATATAAATCTTCTGGTTTCCTATCAAGGATGATGATTTAATCTGACAATAGAAGGTACATAAATATGTAACATATAATTTATGAATGTGTCCACACATTCATCAGGTTCTTTATTTTAACTCAAAATTTACTCTAAGTGTGTTACTTGCTATCAATCCAAATGGTTCATATCATCCATTAACTTTACAATTATTGCCCTGAAATTAAACTCCCAGAGTTCCTAGTTGCCACTCACTTATTTTTAAATGCAGTGTTTATTCCCAAATGAAACAGATACACTCACCCCTACTAAAATGATTTGTCATGATGCTAATAAAGCTTAAACAGAAACTGTTGTGCTAAAGCTTGTGTTCAAAATATTTAATCCCATTACTTCCCCTAGAAACAAATAACTGCAAGGGCTGAAGATGTTGTCTCCCCAGTTCTTTTAGTGAGATTCAGACAATTACCAGTGGAAGCATCCCTGTGGTTCAGGAGTTCCTACACCACACATGGTGTGGGTTGTTTCTGTGATTAAGCTTCCACTACTGGAACCAGAAGAGGTTTGAGCTTCTAGATCTGTTCTCTGAGCAATGGCTTTACTAGTGAAGTTCTGAACTGCTCTGGGGAAAAAAGCCAGAAAGCAGGACCAGACAGCTGGGATTTCTCAAACCACTGCAGCCACATTCATCAGAACTTGTGTGTCAAAGCTTTGGTCTCTCTCTGCCCACAGTCACACAGGAATTAAGGGCTGTAAAGAAATTTGCAGCATGTGCTAAGTATTATTTGACTTACAGTGATCCTTAGCATTTATTAGTGAGTCCTTTCTGCCACATCTTTTGGCTGCACTTGTACAAATTTGGCCCAGATAAACATTTGCTGACAAAAGCTTCTAAAAACAAATCCATTCTAAGTCTACTGAGTCAGTTTGTCTACTGAGTAGAGGTATTTTTTATTTTATCCATTTCCCACATAGAATCAAAAAAAAACCCCACTGGCACTGGTGGTTCTTCTCAAGGTTTGTCAAAAGAAAAAAACATATAGAAATTTTTGGCCTTGTTCCATCATTGCATGTTTTATCCATTTACAGATACTTTAATTTTCTGCATTCATTTCTGCAACTCAGAGTTTCGGTCATTACAGTGAAGCAATTAAATCCAAGCAATAAACTTTTTTAAAATGCAAAACTAAGTAAAAAAATTTACTGCACATAAAATCTGAAGCCATATTTGTCCAACTAGAAAAAAAAAAAAAAACTAAATAACAGTATCAGTTAACATATCAAAGCTAAAATCATGGACAATCCTTTAACTTCCATGGCTTACAGATTCTCCTTAACTGCTATGAGAAGAATGAGGCCCCTGATGGAAACCCAAAGCACACTGAAGGCAGGCATGTGCTTTTTGTGATGCTCATTGATCACCTGTGGTTGTTACTGGCCCCACATCAGGACCTGCACTGCAACCAAGCTGCTGCAGGATGGGCTGAGCCAGCTGCAAGTCTGGAGCAGGGCACAGGGAATTTCTGCTCAGCTTCTCACAGTGCCCTGGCAAACACTGCTCAGCATCTCTCCAGTGAGAGGCTGAGTGCTGTGCACTCTGGTTCCTAAAGGGAGCAGCAGCAAGCCTGGGGGCTCTGCTGGGCTGCTTCCAGAGCCAGCTGGCACAAGGCTCTGAGCTTTCCTGACACATTTGCTTCTTTTAGGTACTTTATCCAATCATTCTGCCCTCCCTGCACTCTTCTGGCAGCAAAAATTATCACCCATAGCAGCCAGGTCTTTCAATCAACTTCAGAAACTTTTGAATGAGGCCTAAATGAACTGAAGTTTTTTTTATTCTACTTCTTGTTGGTTTTAGTATTTCTTTCTACAATATTCATTAGTTAGTTTACTGCTTTTGAATCATCATTATTTTCTCCCTGAGTTCCTACTTATGTCACTGATATATATTTCAGTAAAAGATATTTGGAATACTTTACAGGTTAATAATTTACAATAAAATCATCACATAAGAATTTGAGTTCACCTAGATGGCACATACATAAAATGTTAAAACATTCTAAACAATAAAGTATTTCTTACACAATAAAAAGTGATACAGAAATTATGCTTTAGTTGTTTTCATTATGACATTTCTCACCACGTGGACATACACCAGGTTACAGTTAATCACTTTTTTTCCCCCCAACAGCAAATGTATGTTTAAAAACATGTTAATACTATTTAAAATAATGTAAGTAATATGAGAATAGTAAAGAAGACTGAGAAGAAGTGAGTTCATCAGTCATGTAAACCAGCAGGAATGCCAGCAATCCAACAGCCCACTCCCAATACACAAGTTTATTTCAGTAATTTTAATGGGATTATTGATGCAGTAATTTCTGTAAAGCAGTTTCCTGCACTTGGTCATTTTATAAAAGTTCTGACATAAACCCAAGGATGATGATCATTGCAATCGAGAAATACAACTGCTCGTTTAGATTAATAACAATGAGTTACTCTTTATTGGCACCCTAAATATATCAGAGCTCAGAAATTCCCATTTTGCTTCACTCAGACACAGCTTTTTAGGAAGAGGTGTCACAGGTAACTATATCCAGTAGCTTAGCAAGCCCTCTGATGAGATGTCGTGCAGTACCAGGGAAAAAAGGGTGCTTTGAGCTTATTCACAATACATGAACTTACCTTCCCACAGGCTCTGCAATGGTGCCTTCTTTTGGTGAATGTAAATCTGGCCTCACATTTCATACAGTTTGGTGCTTGAGAGTCTGGAACCCACACAGGAGCCACCTCACCCAAAGTCGTAAAAGGCTTTCTGGCTGGAGCTCCAAACTGACCAGCTCTGAGATCATTATCTGGACTATCTGGGGCTACTGCAAGGCACGAACTATTAGAGACTCCAGATTCATACTCGTCCAAATGTTCCCCATTAGAGCCAGTACCAGAGGCATTTGAAGATGTTTCACCAGGAAAGGTGTCTGCTGTATCCCCTAACTGTGTCTTACCAAAGACATTTTTGTTTTTACTATTACCACCACAATTTGGGGGAATAACATCATTTTGTAAGTGGTCCGATAATGGCTTCGGAATCTGCAGTTTCAGATTTGTGGGTTGCTTAGGTCTTGCACCACCAAAAGGAACACTATATTGCAGGTTAGTCACTGGTTTTGGTGAAGTCTGCCCTTGCATGGATGAAACCTGACTACAAAGATTATGCAAATAATTTTTCTTTATGTGATCACCAGTGCTGTTTAAAATAAGACCACTCCCTTCTGTGGCCTCATTTCCTCTCTGTTCATAAATATTAGTGTAACATTCTGACTTGCTCTCCTCAATCTCCTTTTCCTCTGTTACTGAGTCTTCCTTGGAGGGTAAAGTCTTTGGAACATGAGCAACAACTGGGTTCTGCATTCCATAGGAATCACAACCATTAGACAGAGAGCTTGCTGCTGATGTAGCCATCACATCAGAGAGACTGGACCCTCCAAGCTCATCTGTACCAGACCCTTTTAAGTCTATGCCTGCCTCCAATACCCCATCTTCATCTTCTCTGCTATGCCCACATGCATCATCCAGCTGTTTGGTCTGCAAAAGTCTTTCATTCTCTCCTAGAGTTTGCTTATTATTCATCTCATTCAACTTTGTCAGCTCCCAATTAGTCATCTCCTGAGATTCAGGGTAACATTCTGCCATGCTGTGCAATTCCGTTGTGCCGAGATTTTCATCACATTCAACGACTTCGCCTTCAGTGGCACTAACATCCTCTGCAACACATTCCTTGTAATTGCCACTTCCAGCCACGTTAGGTTGACAGGTCTCAGTGAGCCCAGATAGCCTAGACTGCAACTGCTGGGTTGTTTCCTGTTCTACAATTAAGCTTCCACTACTGGAACCAGAAGAGTTTTTAGCTTCTAGATCTGTTCTCTGAGGAATGGCTTTACTAGTGAAATTTTCAACTGATGCACAATTTTCTTGCATTTTAGCAGTACCATCAACTGGTCTCTGTAAGAGAGTCACTGCATTGATCCCTGCAGCTTCTGAAAACAGCAAATCTTTATTCATATTAAAATCCTCCTTCAATCGAGAGGAGGGGCATGCAGCAGTCAGGCTTTCAGACGAAGCGTTAATCAAATGACTTACAGAGTCATCTTCAGTGCACAGCCTGTTTACCTGCTTTTCTGTATCAATATCCTTTTCTGTGGATCCATTTACAGTAACACTGAGCTGGTCACTCTGTCGGTTTTCATTATCCAGTGTAAAGCTAATAGAGTCCATTAGGGACTGACTGTTGTAATTTGTACAATCCACCACATCACCACTTTGTAGTGCTCTTCTGTCACAGTTGTGCATGACTGCCACCACTAGCACATTTTTCTCCTCTGGCAAGCAAGCTGTATTTCCACATTTCTTTTCTCCTGCTTCCATAGAGTTACACTGATCATCCCGATTACTATTTCTTTTAACCAACTGATCATCTGCTGCTGCCTGATCATCAATCCACATGACTGGGGTCTCTGGGCTTATGCTAAAATCCTTTCCATTAGCACAGCGATCCCCTCCTCCTGTTGGTGTAGTCACTGAGTGGGACAAGGAGAAAGACTTTAATCTCTGCTGACATTCATTAGGAGTTGGAGTTTCATTCACGTTGGCCACGGCCGAGTTGAATGACAGGCGACGAGAAGGCGGATCTAGAATCTGATTCCACTTTGCACCCAGCAGAGTAGGTGAAACAGCGGCATCTGAAAAAGGGTTTAAACAACAAAACTTACTGCCTTATTAAAGCCACAGCTTGTATTAATCCTGCTGCATTAGAATGTCCCAAATGGAAATGCAGAAGTGTTCAAATGTGGGCACAAAAATGAAGCTCACCTGTCATAACCATCCTTGGCCAACCATTAGTAGTGTAATTCCATAATGTCACTGGAACTCAAGAAGTTTAGAGCTACCCCAATTAGTATCAGGTTGAATTTGCAAAAGCAGCTTTAAAGCATTGATTAATATATTTTAGACAGCTAGAAGTGCCTGGAAAGATTCTCACCCCCATAAAAATGAACATTTCAACTTCCTTGACAGAAAAGAATGACCAATTAGACTAAGCAAAAAATTTAGTGCTTTGAATACGATAACCTTCATCATATGATTTATGTGACCTAATAAAACATTTCTGCAAAAGAAGCTGAAAATAAGTTTTGCCTGATTTGTTTAAAATAAATGATTTAAATATTGCTACTGAGATTAAGCTTCACTAAACCTTTCTTTAAAAGTGTATGGCACATTTGCTATTAAAAGAGGAAGAAATTTTACAAAGGTAAACAACATGAATGGAAGCAGAAGAGAATGCTACTAAGAAATGCTGAAGACATACCATGCAAAATTAAAAGATGTTTTTTTGTAAGTTCTGAGATTAATTTGCAACTCAAACCCTCAAAGGGTATCACACATCTCCCCCTCTTCTATATTGTCCTCTGGAGAAGAGATCTGATGTGCATCTACAATCCTCTTCAAAATGACTCACCTTCGTTTTGCTCAAATTCATCTAAAACCTTATCGAGGTTATATGCCTCTGCTTGGAAATAGTTCTCCATTTGTCAGGGAACAACCACCAGATCCTTGTCTAAACCTGCCAGAGAACAAATTACAATCAGATGCTTAACCTTCAGTCAGCAGTGTTCCCTTACATATTGTCCTGATTTAAGGGGAAAAGTCCTTTGTAAATCAAATTTTACATACATCACAGACATAAATCAAAAGTATTTTCCAGGAATAAAAATCATTTGTGTGCTTAAACTTGTTTCATTCAGATTAACAACTTCCCCAAACTTGCTTTGGATTTTATTACCTCCAGTCTCTCACATTAATATGTCTGGCAATCAGGATCAGCATAATGGTAAGAGCAAAACTGCTGCGACACCAGTCTAAAAAATTGAAAAAAAAAAACCAACCTAGAGAAACCAGAAAGGCCAACTAAAAAAATCTCAAGACCTGACTTTCAGATCTCTGCTACCACCAATTACTTCATGTGGCTTTGAACAAGGAGTTTAAACTCCCTGTGCTTCTGATTTTTTAATGTACCGTAGGCTAGCAGTACTCTGTGTCAGTCCTCATTCCTCTTGAGATGCTTCAAAGATTCATACTTGTAAAAGTTGTTAAGGGACTTAATGGGTGTTGCTTGAATTGTGCTACCTCTTAAAATGTCTACTTTAATAATCCTTGTTTCCCCGAAAGGCAGCCACTGGAAATCCAGCAAAATGCACAGAAGTAAATAGTGTCATCAAGAGATAATGCTCTCAGGCTAGAAAAGAAGATGACAAGAGAGAAATGAGGAGGGAAAAAAACCAAAACCAAAGCAAAAACCCAACCCTGAATCCTTACATAACTCTCTTCACATAACAAGTAACATTTTGCCCTAACAGCAGTAACATGGATGCCTCACTACCAAAGTCTTGTAGCAACAAGACACCCTGATTCATTTGTTCCAAACATTCACTACCAGCAGAGACATTTTCGGTGGGAAATGTGTGCCATAACCTATAAACCACAGAGACCTTGACTTGATCTGTTCTCTGAACATCATCCAAAACAGCTTTATTCTCTTCAGAGTTGGCTTTCACTGTTGTGAAATAAGGCAATGGAGGAGGAGAGGGTGAGAACCTTGTTTTGCAGCATGAAGCAGTGTTAGACCTGACAGCTCAATTAAAAACCTGCTTTTTTCCACCAGAGATACAACACATTGGAGGAGGTCTCCAATTTAAAACAATACTTTACCATTATCCCCACAGGATCTGGATTTGAGAAAAACATCAACCACCTTTATTTCCACTACTACAACATTTCATATTTACAAATTCAACAATTATAAATATTTACAGAACAACAGTTTTGCATTTATTATGGGCAACAGCTGCAGTTAGGTTATTGATAGAAAAGGATTGTGCATTAAAATATCACAAAATGCAGTTCAAGTTCAAGTTTTCAAGGTCAACTTAAAATGTGATACATGGTCGTTTTAAAAGCTGATCATGATACAACATAAATACATTGCTATTTAATATAATTAGACTAAGGCATGTGTTAAAGATATATAAAGATATAAAGATATTTTTCTTTTAAAGCAAGTTTTAAAGAAAATTAATCTAACATGCATCAACAGAAAAAAAACCATTTGCAAAAGAATTCCAAGATAAACTAGACTTGTCATCTGACATACTCCTAGATTTGTCCTCTGTTCTGGAAATCTAGATTAATTCCTTCTGCTAGGAAAACAGATGATTTGCCATATCATTCACTGTGCACAGATGCAGAGATCATAACATAAGCAATGGAAAAGCTGCCCACCTCGATCACCAGCTGCATTTCAGGAGTCTCAAAAAGTAGCACTGTTTTGTACAAAATACCAGGTGACTGCACATCCATTTATAATGTATTTAATTTACATTATAATGGTAACATTGCTCCTAGCAAACAATTGATGAAGACATATATAATTATTCCTAGGCAAAGTCCTGCTACTGAAGTCAATGATGCAAGGAGTATTTGTCAGTGAGGCACTGCAAGACTGAAAAATGTCATAACAAATTTTTGTGCTCATGAGTTCCAACTGAAGAGAGAAAAGACCTTTTATATCACTATTGTTATTTCACTCACTGATGTACCAGGATACATGGAGAACCTTTTATTTTTAAGCTCAAAGTCACTAAGATGACAGCCACTCTAAATGAGATCTCATTGTCTGCTGCAGTAGATATTTCTCAGAAAAGGTCAGCTGCAAATCTTTAGGTTTCATATCTAAAATTATTATTATTATATAAAAGAATGCAACAACCCCCCAGGCTTTTCTGCAAGTTTCTGCCAAGGGCAAAACACACTGCCAAACCCACAGAAGTCCTTAATGTCCTCTCCTCTGTCTGACAGTAAAGGAGGATGAGTGCTCATGCTCCTAACAGATATCAGCAAGGCTTCCTGATTGTCACCAACTCACGTATTTGCCAGGTGAAGATTTAACGCTTCAACTCACCATAGCCAGCAACTCAAGATCAGAACAGAAAATAAAATGCTCTAACACAGCATGCCATAATAACTGAGGAGCTGTTTTCCCTATGGTTTAGAATTTAATTTTATTTTGAATATTTTTATTAAATGCCCAAGCTAAATAAAAAACATATTCCTTTACAGATCTTTTGAGACTTCTGACTGCATCTCACATGTACCACTGTGAAAGTTTGGAAGACTTTTAGAATTACTCTAATCCCAAAGTTTCTCTTAGGACAAAGGTTGGCATGACATTTTTTCAAGGATCCTTAATAGTTGAGAAACTCTGTAGTATTGCCCAAATATCCTGAGTCATGGCATGGAGAGAAGCTGATGAGCAAACACACAACACTTAGATTCTGGAAAAAGAATAAAAACAGGAGCAAATCAGAAAGAAATTTCAGTGGTAATTTTATGCTACCAAAAAGGACATCCAAAATGACTATATATTGGGGTGAACAATATGAAGGAGAGGATCTTGTGCCAGTGTGAGGAAAAGGAAGCACAAACCAGCAATGAGTAAAAAACAGAAGATTTTTTTTTTCAAAAATACAGTCCTCCATGCAAAGACTTGGCAGGAAACACTAATTATGGAAAAAAGTAGTAAAATTTTATGCTTTGTTTAACTCTGTATACAAAAAAGATTAGTACAATGGTTACTATCCACTGGTATATAAGTCCAGAACTAAAGATCACTCGTTATCCATTGCAGAGTCATCTTCTGTCTTTCAGGGCAAGGAGCTAATTAAAACATGCAGTCTGTCAAACTAGATTATTTTCAAGCTCCTACTGGATCACACATCATGCATAATTCAGGAAGTGTGTTTTACTTCTCAATTTCTTCATAACAACAGCATGGGCTTATCATCATCTTCATTTCTGAAACTCAGGAACTTAGATTCCATGAAGCTTACACGCCTCACTCTCCCTTGATGTCTAAATTTAAAGGTGACTGTACCAGAAATGTGTGTGTTATATCCACCCAGAATTACTGCCCTTGGCATCATAGCATTCAAACACAACACAGACTGCAGCTGCATAGTAGAGGAAAGAAGGACACAAGGACAGAAAAATCTTCCTTAATATTAGATGTTTCAAAGAGGCTTAGCCTTGGAGACTGCCCCTCAGATATCTCACATGCCAGTTTGCTCCTGGAAATGAACTGTACAAGAGAGTGGCCTTGTGTTACACCTGCAAGGCAGCCAGACTTGTATTTGTGTTGGGCTCTGTGATAAGGGATTATGTAACCCATGATCTTCTGCACTGCACATCCTAAATTATCCTTGGGATGTTTTCACCACGGGAACTGACAGCCTTTAGTCTTTCTAATTGTCTTTTAACAGTGGATGATCAGCTCATAATCACATTAAAACACTGTAATAAAAAACTGCACTGAAAGGAAATAATACTGACATTCAACTATTGGCCTCACAGCAAAGACCTAAAAACCAGAGAATATGTAAGGAGCCAGAATAGGATCTCAGGATTTTCTGTCCTGCTGTCCTGTGGAGACAATTTTTTCAATATCAAACTGTGAAACTACACATTTCAATAATCTCTTACTACACAAAATGCTCAGTTTATATAGTCCTCATAAAAAATACCCATGGAAAGCTCCTAAGATGGAAGTCACAAAGGGCATGATCAAACTGAAACCAAACATTGCTTATTCATCCTGATAAAAATCACACATCCAGAAAATGTCATTTTCCCATAGCATGACAGCATGGATGGACTGGACAGACAGATTGATTAGATCCAGGGCTCCTGAAGACTTCCTTCAAGGCCAACAAACAATGGTCAAGGGCACATCTTGCTCCAGCTCCCCTCGGCGATCTGCATTACCTGTCCCTGCGAGTCAGGCACCTCTGCTGCAATGAACACTTTGTTCTGAGTTGAGCAATAGCTTTATTTAGAACTGATGAGTTCTGGCCACAGCACACACTGAGAAAGACTTTGCCTGCCTTCCACCTCTCTCAAACAAAATAAGACACAATCTTTGCTCTAAAATGGGGCAATTACTTTCAGTAAAAAACAAAACAACAAATTGCTAAAAATACTCCATCATCTTCTTTATAAGAGGTCCATCCATACACAAAGGTGTATGTATAAATATATATAAGAATACATGAAGGTGTATGTATATAAATATATATCTGTAAGAATACATAAAAATCATTTCAGGTGTAGAACTCTGAATCATTATATTCTAAAGCAGAACTTGCCTCTTACCTTTTTCTTACACATATGTTAAGAAACCAATGACCCTGTGCCTTCTCATGATGACTGCAGCACAACCAGCCAGTTCTGCTGAATCAGGGTGTTCTACTTGATCCTAGAAAATACAAACATGTATTTTATGACAGGCAATTCTGCCACAAACCATGTCCTTTTTAACACGTGACTGCAGCTAGCACAGGCATATCTGGCAAATGCTGCAAGCTTCAGACAATGTGGATTACATCTGCAGCTTTGAATTCAGAGATGTGTGTGCACTGTGTTCTCCAAAAGTCTGGTGAAAAATGTGGCTAATAAATACCACATTGCTACCTATCTGTTATTATTCTTCATTTAACTGTAAACCCTCAGTGTAACACAGCAACTCCAACTGTCCTTGTATTCCTGATGACCTTGACTGTAACAATTTATAAAACTAACCCCTGAAATCAATTATATTATACTACAATAAGCCTTCCAAAAACAAAGAGCTAGTAGCTTTGATAGTCAACAAAAATTCACAGCCCTCTGAATTCTGTAAACTGTATTCATCAGCTTCCCACTCATTTTGTTACAGCTAAACAAGTGGTTTTGTCTTCAAATTATTCCCCCTACAATGTCAGGCTCCCTTCATTTCCTAAAGGCTTCTTCTCAGAAGGCCCACAATAGCACCAGTCTTCAACAGTATGGAGGACCAAAGAGGAAAAAAAAAGTCATCTGAAGAAACTTTTATTTTTTATTCTTCAATCCACAGCATTTCTATAGGTCAGGTGCTTCTTTTCTCAGGCTGCATCCTAACAGCCAACATAGCTCAAAAATCCAACACAGCCATGGGCACAGAAAACAGAAAACAGTTTATGACAAACAGTGCAACAAGAAAAGGAATTAGATACGTTAAATTAATTTTTTAAGGTTTGCCAGCACTGACATTTTGACCTGTTAGGTAGTTGAAATATTTATTAGTACTCTGATGAAGCTGCAAAATTCGTTAGAAAAAAATCTTCAAGCTCCAGCAAAATTAACAGCGCTAAAAAAAAAATCAGTTCTCCATGCATGAAAGCAATATTCAGTGTTACACTAAATTTCTCCCAGGGCTGTTTATTATTCTTTTCAGAAATAAGCTACAGTAATAATTCCAGGAAACTAATGAACTGAACAGCAGCACTCTGAGTAGTAGTGTTTTCAAACTCAGAATCCCACAACTTTGGATGCCAGCAGAACTCTTCCTGTATACAAGTAAAATTTCTGATGCTATGTGTATTTCCGCCTCTATAAATGAAAATGAATTTTGGTTATCTGGGAAATAGTAGATGTTATCTTTTTACAACATTCTTCAGATAGGCATCACATGCATGCAAAAACAGAAGTGGAGGAAATTTAGTTCCACTGAAAGGCAGCAGAATGAGCCTTTTCAAAGGGATGTGAAGTACACGTGGCACTGGGGAAGGTTTTCTGTACCACCACCAGGTCCCCTCCCAGCCTGGAGTACAGGAAAATGATTCAGTTTTCATCACCCCTTTGAAAAGAAAGATCAATTAATGACAATTCTGTGATTTATGGCAAGGCCTGTCAGCTGCATCACGAACACCACATGAACCAGTCACACATTAACCACAGAGTCCAACCTGCCCTGATCAGAAATGATCAGCCCCAGCAACCCTCAGCTGAAAGGAGCTCTGCTGCCACCCCTGCTCTACCTGCAAACCTTCCAGGCAAGCAATAATCAGGGTACAGCTTTATTATTCATTGTTTTTACTCTGCTCCTCTTTCCTTGTTCCACTCTTCCCAGGTAATGACTTTTTTGCGCGTAATCACTCAACAGAGAAGATCCAATCAATGGCTGCCAGTCTCCACAGTAAGCTTTGAAGAGATATTACCTGGAGGTCCTGGAGCTTTTTGTTTACAGTTCAACATTGACACTCAGCAGCTATTTCCCCTTACAAAGATCAATGCAAAAATCAAAGCATGCTTACAGATATGAATGTAGTATATTTAAACAAAAAGCAAGGAAAAGAAAAATGAAAAGTAAATTATAACATTTGGATTTCATGGGAAAAAAGAACAAGTTGGCAACAGAGCCAAATTCTTTTTTCAGTAAGAATTTAATGTAAGAGAAGTATATTTAAATGAAAATTAAGGACAAAAGGAATAACTACAAATGAGAGCCAAGAATACTCACAACAACAACCTTGTTACAGGGTTTGCAAGGGTTTTCTAGGGTGAGAGAGACAAGAATGTTGACTTCCTGTTCAGAAAGTTGATTTATTATTTTATAGTATATATTACATTATTACTATGCTAGTAAAAATAGAAAGAAAAAGTTTCAAAAGCTTACTAAAATAAGAATAAAAAAAGAATCAATAATAAAGGAGCTCTCCCTGATTCTATCTCAGAGAGAGCTCAGTCTCTGATTAACCTTCAATTGTACACATCTAACATGAACCAATCACAAGTACACTTGTTACATTCCACAGCAGCAAACAACTACTATTCACATTCTTTTTCTGGGGCCTCAGCTTCCCAGAAAAAAGAAAAATCCCCAAAAAAAAAGATTTTTATAAAAAGATGTCAGTGACATAACCTAGTGATTATAAGGTTTTCTCTGAATCACACACACTGCAAAAAGGGTTCCATCACACTTGTGAAAAATACACACATTTCCACCTAAAATTATGGGCCCACTGAGACCTAAGATCACAGTAAATGCAGGAGGCCCAGTGTCCCTTCTGTCCCAGTTTGCTATTGGGACATTTCAGCTCCTCATCCCTTCTGCTGGTGGTGGGCTGAACCCTACAGTGGTGCCACTCAGGTGCTGCTCTGCTTGTACCCTGCGTGTCTGATTTCCCTCAGGAGCTCCAGGAAGGCGACTACCAATTACTGCAAAAGCAACACAGAAATTGAAGAGAAATTTGACAAGCAGAGACGTGCTCGGAATAAAGAAAGGATGAAGAATAGAAGGAAAGAACTCCAAAAATACATAATTAGAAATATCTTCCACCAAAAAGAATGTAAAAAATGTTTACAACATTAAATGAAAGTAATCTGAACTCACAGAAACTGGAATAGCTTATAATAAATGGAAAGAGACTGAAAAAGAAGCAATTTTGATACTATGGTAAAAAAATGCAAAAAATGCTCAAAGCATGAGGAGATGCTAAAAAATGCTTCCATCTACTGGCAAAGATCCAACTCTTAACTACACTACAGATCCTCTATAATGTGCTATCAGTGAGGAGATGTCTTTGAGTAGGCAGGGAGACATTTGCAGCCATTTTAAGGCACTTTATTATTGCTAGATTAGTTGAACTAGGCATTATCCTACATGCAAATCCAGATTTCAACACTGGTTTCTTCACTTCCTACCTTGTCTACACTCTGCAAGTATCAGATGGGAGATACAGACTACAGAGGATGTGTTCAGGCCCAAGCTCTGCAAGAAAATCCAAACTACAGCAAGGAATATCATAGCAGGGGGTTACATTAATAGAAAATCAGAGTACTTGAACAAGGGGGGAGACAGGTGGAAAATTTCAGGATACACATGAGTAATGTAAAATTAATTATTTTATCTGATCAATCAGTCTGGAAGCTAAACCTTCACAAATAAAGGGGGTTCTTCACTCAAGTCATGTAATGCTTGGAATAGTGGTGATTTACCACGTGCCCAACAATTTTGTCCCCAGACATGGAGTTCTTCTACCTAACAGGTGCCACATGAAGGGAAGGGAAGGTGTTACAAAGCGTTTGTGATACAGCAGTAGCAATGTCTGCCACACACCTGAAAATGCCTGCAATGGCAAGGACCTCAGATTAGGCCCCAAATTAAGCATTCCAAAATTAAGTGTTCTATTAATAAATTAAAGTAGTAGTCATTTAGTGCAATCAGAAAAAAAAATTGTTTTCAGAATTCTAAGTTATTAAAGAAAACTCATCAAATGACACATATTTTTTTTAAATACTTGGTCTATACCACAGTTCAGATTAGAAAAATGCATTAAAACTCACCATAAATCCATTTAGTAAGCAATACTAAATACAGCAGCAAAAATGAAATGTAACAGATACAAAGATGCAGTCACTGATAATCCTTTCCCTGCACCAAAAGCTCAAGATGACCAAGCATCCTTCAGCTTTACTTTCCATAATTTGCTGATGTTTCTACTACTCCATGTAAAGAGCAGGCTGGGGCACGGCAGGCTATTCCTGTGTAATACAACACTTTGTACAGCTCACTACCCACGAATGCTGACAAAAGATAAACAATCCAATGTTGCATTGGATTGTCTTTTTTTCCAATCAACTGAACAAGGAGAGGTGGACAATGCTTAAAGCAGAACAACCTCTCTAATTATTTCACCAATATTTGCATCTTTTCCCTTGACTCTCCCCCATGCCATTTTAAAGCCATTATTTCCACTTTTGTCTCCAGCCAAGTTTCCATAAGGAGACATTCACACATGCCTGAGCAGTAGTAAGGCAGTCAAAGGAGCAGCAACTTCAAAGCAGCGTTATAGGAAGCATCACAGTCAAAAGTAACAGGGAGACAAGAACAACCACAGCAGCATTATCAACCTTTGTGCTCCAGAAAATAAAAGCAGCTCAGCTGAAAAGGACACCTGCTTTATAACCATTTACAGTAGAAATAAAATTCCATTTCCTACCCTTTTTTACTATTTCAAGGAGAAAGGATTGATTTGTTTTCCTGACACAAACCCAGCCTTGCCAAGCAGCCTCAGCCTGCTGCAGAGGCCTCAGCACCTGGAGACAGACAGGAACCAGCTCCTGCTTATGTAACTGTGATGCCTGGAAAAGGATCCATCCCTGCTCTGGGCAAGAACAAATAGATAGGTTTACACCACACTGCTGCCTTCCACGCAAGTTTTTCCAGAGGAATACAGCTGGAAAAAAAAAAAAAAACAGTAAAATCCTTTCCTGAGCTTACTCATATGCTGGTAGAGCAAAATGTGGTGGTTTATGTATCTAATGTTTTTTAACATTTTGTTTCATGCAACTTGCAAATTTGAAATACTGTAAACCACAAAAAGCTAATGCACAGTGCATTAAACATAAATTTAATATGAAATCATGTTTCTTAATTTGTGCATGAGTTCCAAGTAA